AATAATCACAAAGTATAAGTCTAAAGCATAATTTTGCCTGGCTTTTACGTTTAAATTGGTTTCTCGTAAGAACTAAATGGCTTTAACGCGTAGAAAAAATTGTATACGTTAAAATGGATATAACCTGTACATAGCTTATCTGCTTATACAGATTCTCTTGAAAAGAAATTGACGAGGTCGAAATTTATTAAACCCAAGTTTTCTTAAATATTGCCTAATATATATAAAAAAAAAACCTTAAACCCCGCTCGCTTTCAATCCTCCCTTTAAAATAATTGAAACTGACCATTTCTAAGAGGTTTGTATTGCATAGGCATTAATAATTATAGTGTGTGTAAAACAACATTTGTGTGTATTCCACTCGTTTATCTTTCTATACCTCTCGTTAAACTCATTAAATAATTACCAAAACTTAAAATAGCCCATGGTATTACATTTGTTGGAAACGTTTAAAACAAGAGGTCAAATGATTTTGTTTAAATTTGAATTAACATAGTGGTGTGGTACATTATTGTTTAACGTGGTACCTACGAGAATTATGCAATTAAATTATGTGGGCGATTCCGATACCTATTAGGTAATTATTTAATTATTGGTACTAACAGAGTATTTGGGAAATGGAAAACAAATTTACAATTTTTAGATTTGTCCTACACATTGTGTGTATTTAATGCGTTTTAAATTAGTTGTAAAAAAATGTGTACGAATAAATTAATAAACTCAAAATTAAATGTACAGGTTTAGTTTTTATTTTTCGAATTGGTGATATTTAAGGAGATAATGTATGTTCGTTTTAAACGCTGGAGAAATTACAAGAACAATTCCAAATTTTAAAATCAAATTTGGAGTGCGTTACGATTTTTAATTGAAAAACCAAAATGCATAAACCGTATTGTGTTGTGTGCAAGCTTCTGGACAAATTAAAATATGTTTCAGATTTTTTACCGGATTATTGAAAAATTCAAATTATGAGAAAACACGGTCGGTATCCAATCCTCTTAACTCCAACTCAAAGAAACTATTTCCATTGACAGATACCTCCGTCAAATTTAAGCAGAAATCAAATATCAACCTGATTACAAATTATTAGGTACATAATTATAATCTAACCTAGGTTGTTATAATATCTATACTCTACCTACGTTTACAGAACATTAATTTGTATGTTGAATTTTAATTGTAATAAATCGTATGAGCTTAGAAGTTAAACATTATTATCATATTAAAAAAAACAAATAAGTACAGTAAATGGTGAACAATTTTGTTTGAACGCAGAAGGTTTCCAACAATTATTGTAGTTTCAGTATAAGTCACCTACTACCTATACATTTAAAGAAATCAGAAAATTATATCGCTTATACTATTTTATTTAGACAATTTTTTTTTATAGAAAACTGTAAAATAACACAAAATATGGAAATTTTGTATGGAATACAACAGTCGATTCGGTAGGTCGACAATGAGTGTGGGAAAAAATTAAGTGTTCTAGTGACATATGGTTGTATTGCACGATTTCAGCCATGTGCCCGGATAGCTCAGTCGGTAGAGCATTAGGCTTTTAACCTAAGGGTCCAGGGTTCAAGTCCCTGTCCGGGCGGTGACTTTTTTACTTTTTTTTTAATAGTTTTCTACATTTTTTTATGCTTGAAACGATTTAAATCGTTTCAAAATCTATTAAATCAATTAAATCGTTCATTTTAATCGGCTTTCATATTACAAAAAAAAAAAAACTTTAAAAACGTGGTAGGTATCATTTATATTCTTTAAATTTGCCATTAATATCACTGATCAACAGAATGTTGTAACAAGTAAGATGCTACACCTATCTACCCTTATTATACAACCATTTTTATTTTTATTGGATCAGGTCTAGTTTTTGTGTGTTCCAGCTACTATCAATAAAATTGAGTATTTATCGTTTTGACTTACTTTTTTCATTCAAGGTGTTTTGTTTTCCGGTAAAGTGGTTGTGTTTTCTGTTTGTCTAGTTAAGTGACTCTTGAATAATGTCAAGAAAGTGTAAAAATGACCTTGACAAGTTTTTTTTTATATTTGTGGCGAAATTAATTTTAATACTCGACAGAGAAATTTTACACCATTAGTAAAAAAATTATAGAATGAACGTTTCGGAATTTCAATGGTTTAGATGGAAACCAACATTTATTACATTAAAAAATATCCATATTATTTCAATATCAACTCTATTATACTAAACCTTGTTCCTAACATAATCAGTCAAAAGTTTTCATGTTAAAACAAAAAGTGAATTTTTGTTGACCAGTGCGATAAGGTGTTCATAATCTGAGAAAAAATGGACAAACCATTTTAATCATTAGCATTTTACCAGTTAAGTATGTAACTGTATTAAAGATTGTATCGAACCATACGCAGACCCAATATTTAAATGGGTAGGTACTATTTAAACAGGCAGTACAAGCATGATCGACTTAAATTTATAGAAATAACTAATTGTAATCACTATGTATAATATCACATTTACAATGGACTATTAAATGGGTAATGTAACTATTGGCTTTTTTAAAGTTTTTTTAATCCAAAGATATTACTTACAATGGGATTTACTTGTATTTGATTTCATCGCATTGTTATCGAACCAATTTTAAATTAGGTACCTACTTAGTTTTAGACCCGTTTCTACTAAGCTAGTACCTATAGCTTGCCATGCTCAAATAACTTAAAAATATACATGGAAGAAAAATAAAGACAAAGAAAACCTACTTATTTGTATGCATATTATACTACTGCTATGTAATAAGGTATCTAAATATTTAAATTATAGTCTGTAACACAATATTTGTGTTAAGCATGGTATAATACATGCTATGTGGCAATAATATTAGATGATTATTATATTATACTAATAATATATATATTTTTTTTTTGTTACATAACATATTATCTCCTCGTAAAATCGTAAAAAAATTAAAATTTGTTGAAAAATACTTGTTTTGACTGTGTTAAACATGAGCCCGGATAGCTCAGTCGGTAGAGCATTAGGCTTTTAACCTAAGGGTCCAGGGTTCAAGTCCCTGTCCGGGCGGTGATTTTTTTGCATTTCTTTTTTGCATTTCTTTTTTACATTTTTAATATGTGTTTTTTATTACATACTCGAAACGATTAATTTTATAGTATTTCCCATTAATCGACGATAAAAGTCTCCCTATAGTGGCGTTTCTAGCATATTTAATAAAATATTGCCCTTAAGGCGGATTAACCACACGCAGACCGTCAATAATTAAATAGATAGTACTTATTAAATGGTTTATTATGTATAGAAATTGTGTACTAATTTTAATCACTATTTTTAATTTACATAAAACTCCCATCTGCAACTAGTGTTAAAGATAGTATATTACATAATATTTGATATTATCCACGTTTTCATTATACCACCAAAGTATTTATTTGAGTTTTTAGGATAAAGTATCGACTATTGACTCAAATTTTATTAATTTGAACAAATCACTGACAATGTTTTGACTTAGGTACTTGTATTTGCTTTCATTGCATGATACTATTATCATACTAGTTTTTAATTAGATACTTTCAGAATGATTTCTGTTTGTCCAACAGTTTGTTACTCACATAGGTATTCGCCTTTAACTTATATTAAAGAGTTATCAGCAAAGCTAATTAACTAAAACTTTATCTAAATAAGTAATAATATTCTTGGTGGTATTTTTTGTATTGTTGTAACGTAGTTTGTTTACTGTAGTGTTAATAAAATAGGTATAGATAGGTTCTGAACCGAAGAATAAAATGTTATTGTTTTTAAATCCAAGTATGGAAATTTAAATTTTCCTAGCACGCCACAGTTTGTTTTTTAAATAACCTTCAAAGTTTGGATATATTAGTCTTATTTGAGTACTAATTGTTGCAATATTGAAATTTACCTAAAAGAGATCAAATAAAATAGTTAATTATCTCTATGATAAAATTCATTTTTTTTTTTAAGTATTAATTATAACATAATACAATAATAATACGTTATAAACCATTTTAGAACCACCTAATTAAATTAGCTATTAATAATTCATCATAGAAATGTTATTGTTGTCTTTTTATCATTTAAAACGTCGAAAGAACAATTTTTAAGACATTCTTCTTAATGACATTACTTAGGCAAAGATTATGTATTCGAAAATTGCAACTTTATATTGTAATAGGTAGTATTAACTATTTAACTGATATAATTTAAAACGTTTGATAATATTTGTAATAACTATTATATTATTGTCCATATATTTATGAGAATGTAATTGAGTATATTATACCAGTTTATATTTCAAACATTAACCCATGAAAATATGTACTACTAAAATTGAATAATAAATAAAGGACAAATGGTCTGAAAAGTGCTGAGTGCAAATGAACCAGACAAATTATTTAAGGTTTAGCTAACGAAAAACTGACATTTAATTTAACTATTAAGGACGAATTCATACTCAAATCCATTATTTGGTCAGATAGTATTAAAACATTTGCCGTTATAAAATCAAAGAAAAAGAGCATTTAAAATATTAACTTATAACACCATAATTTTTTTTTTTAACTTTATTATTATATTATTATTAATGTATTTCGATAATCTATTGTTATTTACAATAACAATTAGTTAACTCATAAGTGTGTCTTATGAACTAACAATAAGCCGATAAATATATTTTCCCCCCAAAACTCCAATGTTGAAAAAAAACAATCACGTCTAAATTAAAAAAAACAATCAATTTTCAGGGGTGGCAAATTTCATTTGCCCATAGGCGGCAATACATTTTAATGTGACACTGGTAAAACTACAAAACTGCAATTGAGGCGCTTATTGGAATATAAAAAACTATTTTTTTAACAAAAATTTTATATTTTTGCCCAATTCTTTACCATTTAATGGGTTGATTTAATTTAAAAAAAATGTATTTTATATTTTAATTTAGCCTGAGGATTTTTTTAAAAGTAAAATTGGGACTTTTAGTTTATGATTATTTAATAAATATAAACTATTTTATCGACCACTCTGTATAAAAAAAAAAAGCGTTTAATACCGGAGTAAGCATTTGATTTATTTGGGTATAGTTCTGTAACACAGCTCTTGCAGCTTGAGCGAGATGATTTAGAGATGTGTACCTACGTAAAGTTTGTGCAAATGCGCTAACAGCAGTCACCTAGAAAAGGTAATCTATTAAAAAAACACATGTACTTTAAATTGTGCAACAATATTGTACTGACTTTGATTGAGATCATTTCTTCTGGACACCCTTGCATTGCTGATGTTAACCATGACTCCAAACCTTTAGAAAAATTTCTGATAGCTTGAGTTAATGTTCCTAAAATATAATAATAGTAATTTAAAGTACTTTTAAAATGTATGGCTTTTGTGAACAAGTAAACATGTACTAACCCGGAACAGGTCTCAGAACATCTGGGATTAAAACTTTTACTAAATTCTGATAAAACAGAAAATCGACTGTTTTTACAAATAATTGCAACGTTTTACATTTGGACAAGGAATACAATTTTTCTTTGGACAAGTACTTTTCTTCTTCGCATTCATCATTGTTATTGTCTTGACTACGCCAAAATTCACGCCAGAGCGATTCGATAGTACCAAACTCTAACGTCATTATAGCGTCTAAGAAAGCCTACGGAAACATAATTTTAAATTTAACTTTCTATTGATAGTGCATTTAAAATTAAATAATATACTTCATAATGTTCTCTGTATAGATTTTTAAATGTATCCACATCTTCAAGAGTACAATTGTCATCTAACTGTAATTCATCTAATATGATATCTGGAAATTCAGGCACTGCGTTGGTTCCATCTCCCAAATATTTTAGGTTTTGAGCTTGCGGAGAAGACGGTATACTATTTTGAGAGCAGTTGGCCGAGTCTGAACTATTGCTAGCGTATTGATTACAGTTTTGTTCTTCAGATTTGATAAATTTTATTTTTTTTGAGTTTCCTCCACTTTGGTTTGGTCGGCCAGGTACGTTCTCGTCAGTTGAAAAATCATTCAACAAAGAACTAGCTTTGATTCTTATACCGTAATAATGATACTTAGAATTTCCTCTGCAGAAAAAAAAAATTATTATTATTATCAAACATGCAAAAATGTTTTAAATAAATACCTAGTTCCTAAGCGTCTTGTGCGTAAACCCATGAAAACCGATCGGATCAGTTTACCAAACGACGCTGCATTTACAGGATCAATTTTGGTTTCAGAACAATGTGTTAAATAATGATTGTATAATGTTGACCGTGGCAGTGAAACGCCTTCGGCCATTTCATAGTTTTCCATTAACCAATTTACCTACGACAAATGTTTTATATTATACAATTTAAAATTAACAATATAACAGTCTTAACAATTTAACTTACAGTTGCTGGTGATATTCTATTGGCATGCATAAGACCACTATTTTGCATTCCTCCGTCCGTTTCGACACCGTTTATCTGATCGATATTGCCATTTGTCGTGTTGGAATCGGTGGGGTTCACCGTAAGATAAGAAACGTCCTGTGGGATTAAAAGTATTAATTTAACAAATGTATATTTAAAAAATACACAATTGCAGAATACATTGAATTGAAAAAATGGGTAAATAATTGCATGCATTTTTTTTACTGGCCATAAAAAGCACAACATAGAGCTTAAGCTAAGTTTTAGTCAAACCACTGTACCGATGACAAGGCAGAATTAGGACTATCTCTTTGAGCTGTTGCGATAATTGTATGATCGTTGTCGACATTTTGTTGTATGATGTAAGTTCCATTTCCTATAATTTGTGCTTGACACGTAGGCTGGCCTAACGTATTTGTAACCTACAATTTTGTCATATTGCAATCATGAAGCCCGTTAAAAATTAGTAAGGAAGCGACCAGGAAAATGAGGAAGACGGTTGGAAGCATAGATATAGACAACCACCTCTACAGTTAAATATATGTTTATAATGAGTTGGTATTACAATAGCATTTACCTGAGAATATGAGTTAGTGCTTGGTGTATAATAATGAGTTTGGCCCGTTTGGTACATAGTACCGCTTTCTCCAACTGTATAGACAGGATATGCCCTAAAATAAATGTAATATATTTTTATTCTTGAAATGTTAAGCCAATTACTAATAACTGTTTAATCCTTAAAATTATAAAACCATCGATACATAAAGCCTAATACATAATACATCAAACAATAAAATAACTAAAAAATTCTTACATTTGACCGTTTGTAAAAATCGCTTGGTCAGTCGTTCCTTCCACATACTGCACATAAGTAGAATGACCGACATCGTCGGAGCCGACAGTTTCTGTTTCAGGAACTAAAAACAGCAAAATTGTCTTATTATAAAGTTGTTGTGGCAAGTAGGATAAAAACAAAGTTGCATACAATTTTGTAATCTGGCTCTTTTTTGTGAAAAATACTAAGAATAACAGAATAAAATATTTATATTTTCTATTTTACTTACAAAAATATACAAAGAATAATGTTAATTAACCTTATAATTAGTTGCTCATCATTTTTTTTAACAGACTGGTCACTTTATTTAAATAACAAATAAATACTTTAATTACAACGCCATTTATTTTCTGTATTTAAAAAGTAATGTCGGGGTATTAAAACTGTGTATGCAAGCACTTACTTGAAGGTTAAACAATCAGTTTGTTTGTTATTTAAATAAATTTCTTTTTTTATACTATTATTTCCATATTTTTTTAAATAAAAATAAAATTTGATTTATTATTTGAGTATTTATTTGTAATAATGAATTGCGTTTTTATATAAATAAAAAATTAATCAAAAATGCCCAAGTTAGTTTTTCATCAACTATCATTGACTACGTAATATTTTAAGTCTGTTGCAAGCTAAATTACAAATATTGTATTTTCAATCATATATTTTACATAAAAACATCGGAAATTATTTCAAAGGATAGTTGTAAGATAAAAATAATAATAATACTAAATACCAACTAATAAGGCAAGTGAAATAAGATAATTTTTTACTGATTTAAAGCAAAACAATGTAAACAGGTTAACTGTAGCCTTACCTAATGTCGGTACTGGTGTTAAAGAAGCGTAAGATCGTCCTTGATTTCCTTCTTAATAATTGTTAGCGTGCAATTTAATAATTTATAGAATAGGATATGGTCTTCTTAAAACGAAGTATCATATTTTTAACAGTATACAATTTATTATTAAGGCAGTTCTATTTAATGCATATGGTTAGTTTATAATATGAAATACATTTCGAGTAAATACTCGAAACCACTAGTCCGTGAAGTATTTTTATCAATTTATTTGGCTTACCTGATGCTGCAACAATATAATGGCCATTCTCAACGGTTACAGTAGCTACTTGATCTTTATGGTCTAGGTCATCGTCGTCCAGTGATTTATCAGACCCGTCGTCGTGAACCGGACTACCGCATAACATGGCAGTGTCCAATTGTCTACCGTTAGAAACATTCTAAACAAATTTCAAATAATCAAGATTTCATTATGTAGATTAAACAATGTATGTTAATTGTTTACACTAGAATTAAATCAACAATACTCGTATTATTTTAACTCTTATTTATAGTAAAAAAATTATGTCGACTGTTTGTACCGCAATTATTTAAAATATAGATAATCTTGAATTATAACGGGTAAATATATAAATAATAGTATTTAACAGTACTTGTTCAATTGAAGCTCGAACTACAGAAGCTTGTTGTACTGGTTGTACGACTAGTGTTTGATTGACACCTCCAGCTGTAACTACTGTTATCGTACTGATTTGCGAGCCTGGGCCAGCTGACCCATCTATTTTGATTCCACTTCTCACAGAAGTCGCCATAGAATTATCTAAACATAAATAGAATGTCTTCGTTAATATTACCAACGACACAAATTATTATGAAGACTGATATTGTAAAATGTCTTGAATAAGTGTTTCTTTATATTTTACATGAAAATTCCATTTTTGGGTAGAATATATATTTTTTGAAAGCATATTTGTTAATAAACAAAAAGGAAATAAGAGTTGAAAAAGATAAAAAAACAGTGAAATAGGCAAATATATTTTCGAAACTATTTTCTATATTTTTTTTATTACACATACAATTGACTACTTCTATAACATTTTATATAAGAAATTGAAAAATATACAAAATAACTTTGAATTTATAAAAACAAGATATTTTATTTTATACTTAAAAATTATACATTTATTTAAAAATTATATTTCAAATTACTATAACATTTAGTATTAAAAAAAAAAATCAATAATAATGTAAATTTTCTAATAAATAATAATAATAATAATAATAATAATAATAAAATACAATTATTCATTGCAGTAAAAAAAAGTACATAAATGTAAAAATTACCCTACAACCAAATGCAAAGAAATTGAATTCAAACAAATAAACACACAATTACACATAGGTAAAACCTACTTACCTACTCGACACACTACTATAATTAAACAGAAAATATCAAACACTTTTCTCGATTGCTTAAAATCATATCTTTATTGTTACACGACCAAGATAAAGTCAAGGCCGTAAACCGATTTCCATTGGAAAGTTTTGGCAATTGTTCCAATTGTGGACATTGTTGATCGGTCCATATAAATACAGAGTCTGTTCCGAAAACAGCAGAAAGTTTTATTTCTGTATAACACCAACACATATTCTCAACAGCAGAAGAAAATTCTACTACACATATTAATTGTTTTTTTTGCCAAATATACAGACAATTTGATTCTTCTTCATAAGTACTCATATAGTTACAACAAAAACTCCAAGCTATAGAAGCGATATTCTTTAAAGTTGCATTGATAAAATTATAAGTCGGAGTTTTCTTTATCAGTACTCCATTTAACTCTTTATAAAAATCAAAACAATTATTAATTGGACCATGATTCAATTTAAATGAAACATTGAAGTCATAGGCCTTATCTAAAACTACTACGATTCCATTGGAACATCCTAACGCTAAATATTCACCATTCGGTGCCCAACTCACAATGTTGATGGACGACAAATATTGAATTTTACCAATTATGTCACCAGATTGGAAATGAAGAATGGCTATTTTTTGTCGATTAAAAACACATAGAAATTGGCAATCAGGAGATATTCTTAGACCATCGCAGGGTCCTATGAGATCTTGTAGATAAATAATTTTATCTAAAGACTTTGAATTTATTATCAATAATTTTTCATAACCATTTATTTTAGATACGACACACATACGATCACCATCACTATTAAAAACTATACATGGTCGAATAGGTTTAGGTACTTCAATGTAAAATAAGTTTTTTGTCGACATGTCAAACACCGCCAAAGCCATATGAAATTCAAGAGTAAGTAAAATTTTTCTACGTCCCATCCAAACGGCTGCGATGAATTTAAAGTAACCGCTCGTTATTGTATGTGACCATTTGTTGGCACGCAAATTGTACACTTGTAATGTATCATTTTTAAACTGACAACAGAGCACATGATCCGATCGGTCATTCCACTGTATGTTTTCTAACTTGTGCGATGCTTTTGCAACAACGTGTACGCCGACAAATGGTGTTCTTTTGATAAGCAAGCTATTACCCAGAGCGGCGGCAATGAAAACGCCATTGGGCGAAAACTCACATGCGTTGTAGTCTAATTGATTGTTCATCATTACAACGGAAGTATTAAAAAGAAAACACTTACTGAGATGAATATGTGAATGACGGTCGTGTACAAGAGGATGGTCGGCAATTCATATGCTTCCGATTGGACGATCACCCGAACAGTGCGTAGCTCGTCTATATCAAACACATACAGTCGGTTGTTGTTAAATGGAGATCATAAAACAATTAAAACGACGGAAAATCGTATGACTTAGGTATATCAAAAAATGATGGGTTTATTTTTGTCTTGTGTATGTGTACAGTATGATAATTATTGTTTAAGATTTGGTAGGTATATTATTTTGTATTGTTGTTATTGTTGTTGTTACACGGTATAACAATAATATATTATGTATATTATATTATTACCTGAATTGTTGACGCAAAAAGGCGTTCATGGTGACTATGGCTACGGCTTCTGTCCCGTTGCTAGGAGCGGTGGTGGTCACAACAAACGCGCAACAATAAACGATCAATAACAAGATTAGGAAAGGGGCCGTCCGTTCCTGTCGCCGATCATTTTGCAAGACAAACCATCGCCAACGTCCGGGTTAACTGTACAATAATAATATACCAACAGCTGCCGTTTAACGAGGCGTTCTCGGTCAATGAACAGCCGGGTGAACGGTGGAAAAAATGTATTTTGAAAAATAATAACCAACACGAGTAATAAACTATGAAGCAATAAAAAAAAAAAACAAAATATATTATAATAATTTGTCAATGCCGACTAGTGTGGCCAGTGAAATTATTCTCAAAAGGGATTTTATCGTCGGCTGTCGTCGTCGGCGGTGGTCGGGGGAGAAAAGTTGATTCGCCGACACAACTTGGAAAAAATTATACCAAAGACGTTGAAAACGCGGTTACGATTGTTTCAAAAAAATTGCCGCCACTACGTCGACGGCGCGGCGGCAACATTGTCGGGCATCATTAATTTTGTTAGTGTTATTTTTTCTATTAAAAAATATTATGCGCGTAACTTTCATTTTTTTTATTTTTCTACATCAGATACACCGGACGCACAGTGCCAGCGAAGTGCGAACCAAAAAAATTGTTTACTTAAAATATATATTTTTAATGTTATTTAAACAAAAATAAGGACTAACAACGTGTTTATTTACAATAATATAAAACTTTAAAACATACTTTTAATTATTTTTTCATTCGGAATATTATTGTATTATTATTCTTTAATAGTTAATTCCTAACAACATTATTATATCGCAATATTAAATAAAATTTGTTGTCATTTCGTAATTCGACTGCTGCCGAGATGGTCGTAACTTGATGTTTATTTATTTAGAGTTAATAACATACGAATAACCCTTTCTTTACTTAACCTACGGGGAAAAAAATATATTTTCCTAAATTTATCAAACAAATTTTACAAGAAAACATAAAAAATTAGAATAAGCAATCGAAATTGAAATTTCGTTTTTGCTCTCTTAAAAAAATTGCAAAAATCAAGATACGACTTGCTTTGCTGTGGCCGTCGAATTATTTACTTTTAAGTATTTATTCTGAGTGATAGACTTTTATATTATACTTTTGTATACATACAAAACAAAGTGTTTTTGTTGGTAAAGTGAGCAAATGACACCTAATTTTTAAACGTTTTATTTATTTACATTGATAATCATTAAATAATTGCCATATTAAATTTTAAACATTTTTAAAATAATAACTACTATATAGTAACTTTTTTTAGAGCTTTTTGTAGGTGTTACTATGAAAATACAATAAATTAACAAAACATACAAACTAAACTTATATATATATATATATATATATATCTTGTTTGTAAACCTTAATAGGAAGTTTTTTCTTATAAAAAAAGATAACAAATACACATATACTTTAAAATTAATCATCCATGTCAATAAGATTAATTTTACTTATATTATCTAACTGATTAAAATATACCATCTATTATTGTAATTGTATAGATATAATGTTCAACTATGTCCAATTGCAAAAACAAGTAGATGATTTATGTACTTATTTATTGTTCTTATCTGATGACTAAATGGCCTAAACTCTAAAGATATGAACGTTAAATCACTTCATACTTACCTAATACATAGATTATAAGCAAATCTATGTTTTGTAGAACAGTTTTAAAACCTTAATTTTATCGCAGTATTATACGTACTGTATTAGTGTACCTAATACTATTTTTATTTTATATAACTGTGCACTGCGTTTAAATGGCCTTAAAAAATATAGAAAGTAAGGCTGTGGACAATTTCAGGAAGTATCTACAGATACCTACTGTTCACCCTAATATCGACTACGGTTTGTATACTTTGCATTGTTTATTAATTTGTTAATCCTTATAATCAGGTACAAACATAAATAACCCCTGACGTGTCCAATATATAAGCTACTGTTCTCACTAGATTATCTTTGCCTACGCCTCCACGCTCCCCTCATTGCCAAGTATCGTTACATTGTAAGAACGTAGGTACAAATCCTGTTTCATTTTTAAGCCTTTAAAATCACCAAAAAATTGTTAGTTAAATTTATATTAATAAATAAATAAAATTCTAAATTATTTACTAATATATTTTAAAATACCTACTAAATAATAACTGGATATTTATTATTATTTATTGGATTATCTTAAGATTAAAAATAAAGTTATCATTTTTATATATTTCGGTCAATTTTTCTTTTTATTAAATTAATAGCGTATGCTAGCTAGGTAATCTGTAGCGTAAAAAATATACATACTTTGAAAAAAAAACCTATTCTCTTCTCAAATATTCACTTCAATTTTGAAATGAATTTGTAGCTTTTTTTAGTACAATTTAACGACGAAGCACGGCTTAATAAAATCTGAAAACATTTCAATGTTAAGCATAAAAAAACATATCTACCAATATTTTGAAAAAAACGTTTTTTTATAAACTTCATAAATGCCAAAAATAAGGCATAATATATTGTAAAGAAAAAGATTTATTTTTTCAAAAAAAACTTAAAACATTTTTAGAATAGTTAATAAATTCATTTAAGTTGATATAAAATACGATTATGTTGTATCGACGAATAATTTACTACTAAGTATAAAATATCCAAATCTAAAACGTGCGTTACTGTAAAACTATTACCAATTGTGTTACAGAAAAATGTGTTCAATTCCTTCAAGTACAAGCTCAAGAACTAAATTTACCATCGACAGTATATTTTGCGGCGTCAAATAAACCTTTAGTTATAATTACTTGGATAGGTCAAAATCCTCAACTACAGTCATTATTATTACACTCCCACATGGACGTTGTGCCGGTTTACGCGGTAGGTATTGCTTTAACAACTGTGTACCTTTGAAGGGCTATTTAGGGTGGAGGTGAGTAATAGGCCCACTATTAGTAAAATTACTGTTCTAGTCGTTGTAGTAGGTATTAAGGCATAGACTACCTAATTAAAACAGTCAGAACTCAGACATATAGGTAGCCTCCAACTCTCTCTTTCGTTGCCACTTCATATATATATATATATATAATTTATGTTTATAATATTGTATAATAATAATTTCAGGAACAATGGAATTATGAACCGTTTTCAGCTCACAAAGACGAAGTAGGGAACATTTATGCAAGAGGAGCCCAAGACATGAAATGTGTCGGTATACAATACTTGGAGACAATTAGATTGTATTTAAAAGAAAATTTGACTTTTGACAGAACTATACACATATCGTTCTCTCCGGGTAAATTTATATTATTTCCACTAAAGTTATTAATTAGGTACCTACTACCCACTACTTCATATAGAAAATGTGATTGTATCCTCTTCCTGTCAACCTGATTTTCATTCACTTATTTATCCACCTCAATCACCCATCAATGGAACAACCAATAGTTCAACTATTAAGGTTTTTTTAAACATTTTCTTATAGTAATATGGTTTATTTTTGTCTCGCAATTTTATGGATAAAACATACATACGATTTCGTAGACGAAGAAATTGGTGGCAAGTTGGGCATGAAACATTTTGTCGAAACAGATGAATTTAAAGCACTAAATGTTGGGTTTACACTTGACGAAGGAATGGCAAGCCCTGACGATGTATTTCCTGTGTTTAACGGAGAGAAAACGCTTTGGCGTAAGTAGTGAAATATTGTAATTTCAACTTTAAACAATTATTTTTGAAATTAAAATCTAAATTTTGAGGTATAGGATTGGATTAAAATTTAAAAAAATAGCAATACCTATTTAACATTAGAAATATCACAAATAAAATGAAATAAATGTTTAAAAAAAAGCAAGATTATCAAATAAACAGGGATAGACTTGTTTTACTCGATAATATTTGTTATGTTTAAATCAACAACCAAAATTAGACTTAAAAGAATAATGATGATTCTACACAGGTCATAAGGAATAATACAAATTTAGCATCGTCTGTTTAAAATTAAAATATACATACCTTGTGGGTTTCATTTTGATTTCCATACTATGTTAGGCTACCTAATGTTCCAAGTACGATGATACTTAGAATAATAATAATTGTATGACAATTAACTTTACACGTTTTTACAACAGATTTTTATATAAGAAGTCGTGGTAGCCCAGGGCACGCTTCGTTGTTTCACGATAATACGGCAGCCGAGAAGTTAATGTACGTGGTAAACAAGATGATGGACTGGAGGGCCGGAGAAAAAGCTAAAGTTTCGGCTGGTGTAGACGTTGGGCGTGTCACATCTATTAACATGACTATGCTGGATGGCGGGTGTCAGTTCAACGTAGTGCCATCAGAGCTTTCGGCCGGCTTTGATATCCGAATATCCCCAGAATTAGACGAACGTGCCGTACTGGACACATTACACAGATGGTGTAGAGAAGCCGGCGATGGCGTTCGCGTGGAGTTTATAGAAAAAAATGTTCAGGCCAAGCCCACCAAACTCGACGATTCGAATCCGTGGTGGGTGAAATTCAAAACGGAGTTCGATAAAATGTGAGTAGTATTATCGAAAACTACGACCACTACCACTGTTATTGGCATTCCAATGCTTGAAATGGTGGACGTTACTACTATTTTTTGCCCTAAGGAACGCTGAATTTTAAACTTAATATCAGTGTCCCGCCGGCCATGTCATTTCTTATCCCAATTCAAATACTGCGGAACGGTTGACCCGAGTTTACATTTTATACTTATTTAAGGGGCCATCAGAAATTATTGAGGGTCAGCGGCTTTCGCTTTCCTCTCAATGACTACCACTTCACCTCAGTTACTACTCATCTATAATATAGATGAGCGACACCTAAGACTTACTTAAATAGTAATATTTATTACTCTGTTGATATTATTTAAAAACCCTTATAAGTTATAATTATTTCAAAGACCTTGAAAGAACTTCAAATCCTCGGAAAAGCTTAGCCCTCTTAATTTCGCTCTGGCATTACACATACGACTATTGGGGTGGTCCTTAAAATTGGGTTAAGAGATTTTTATCGGGCCGCCCCCTATAAGTTGACTTGAAAATCTGTACAAAAATAAAATATAATCTTTAAAAAATTCAGATCTTAATTTTTATGTAAAAAGTTCTGTCGGTTACGTATAATTTTTACCCGGCGATGAAAGTAGGAAGTATAAAACAATTGGATATAATATAGTATTTAATTAAAAACTGAAAACAGTTAACAACCAATAATTTATAGTGACTTCTTAAAAACCCTTATTTTGAAGTGTAGCATGAATTTGTGTGGTTATGGGCTATAAAGAAATGTAAAGGGCTCAAATTTAAATAATGTATTATACGACCCTTTAGCTCATTAAATAGAGGTTTTGAGGTTGCCAATTTTTGTGAATAAGTCCGACAACATAGTAAAATACCCTTTAAGCCAGAATTAGAAAAATAGTAGATACCTACTTTTCGGTTGTCTTCATAGTCTTAGTATAAGGAGCTGATACCATTTGGGGGAGGGAGCATCTTGAATACAATTCTCCAAACCCCAAACTGAATGGTAATAAAATTGTTAATAATAAATAAACATAATATATTATTATTATTTTTACCTACTAAACTATAATTTAGGGACTTAAAATTGAAGACATCAATTGCGCCCGGAGCCGGCGATAGCAGGTATATTAGACAAGTGAGTATTTATTATAGGTGTAATACGACTATTTTAATTTATTGAATTATAATACAATATTAAGGTAATAAAACATAATATGGTATTTTAATTTTTCACAGATCGGCATACCGGCACTCGGGTTTTCTCCGATGGCTAACACGCCAGTACTTTTACACGACCACAACGAATACTTAAACGAGAATATTTTTTTAAAAGGAATACAAATATATTATAATATAATCAAAAGTCTTGCTAGTGTCTGAAATTGTGTATATATATATATATATTATTAAACATACGCATCACGAATAAGTACTAATTACAATATAGATGAGAACTTGTAAAATGCAACAACAAACACCATACGACGAAAGGTTTTTTTGTTGACAAATATATTTTAGCTTTTAAGTACCTATATGTTATTAACATTAAATTAGACAATAAAAAAGTAATTAATACATTGGACATCATTAACCAACGTATATTTTTAAGACTTCCTTTGATGTCCAGAATCGGCATTTTATAGACTACTTACTTACATGTTGGATAAAAATAAATTATAGTAGGTATACTGTTCGCTATATGTCAAGTCGAAATTAAATTTTACTAATATAATTTACGTATTGGCTTAAGGTAATTGAAAGCAGTCAGTTTTTTGGATGTTTTAGCCCTAAAAGCCTGACAAAATTATCCCTATTTAAATGGTCCGATTTAAATTCTGTAAAAATATTTGAGTTTAACGGCCTCTTTGCTAAGTTTTTGTGGGAATCGATTTTTGATATTTCAAATAAAATTGTGTTTAAACCATATTTAAATTTCTTATTTTTTTTAGTATTCATTTCATTGGTTTAAATAAATGAAACGCAGTTATTCAAAAATAGACTTCCACAATAACCTGAAAAAAAGTCAATCAGATAAATTATTTTTAGACAATTTAAATCCGATCACTCTAAGTAGGCGTAATTTTGTCAGTCTTTTAGGCCTAAATTAGTTTCCAAATAAGAACAAAATGGCTTTAGAACTTGACTTTGACTTGTAGAAAAAATTGCCATGAATCTTATACAAATAAATTGATACCTACGATCAAAATTTAATAAAACGTCTTTTTTAAAAATAATATTGTCTATATGAAACCCCTTAAAACCCGCCTGCTTTCAATCCTCTTAAAGAGTACATACACAATTTTCTATCGTAAGAACTAAATACGCAGTATGTGTTTTAATTGATCTGTGATGAATAAGAGCAAAAACAACTAACGTGAAAGCAAAAGAGGATGTCGTTTTGTTGGGAATATCATTTACAAATACAAAATATCTTATTTAACATTTATTATTAACCTAAATAATATCTATTGAAAAATGGATAAGACGTCATGTCAATGGGTGTGAATAGTAATTGTTGAAATAGCAATAAATAATTTGTGTTATATTAGTCTTAAGATTTGCACGCATTTTCATTGTAAAAAGAAGAAAAACTTGTTTTCTTAGTAAGCATAATATTATGACGTAATCTATACTACTTACCCAATAAAAAATGTTTAAAGTTAATCGAGTGTTAATTGACGTCAATAGTGTAATATATTGTATATATTGTATTTAGAATATTCTTTGGTCTTATATAAAAAGCTATTGGAGGCTATCTTAGTTACGTCTCTTTCACACAATTTTCATGTAAACTAACTATGTTTAACAATACTATCTATAATTATTATTACTTTATTAAATTAGTCGTAGTGAAATATTACTTTATCAGTATTACTATACCTGTATACAACTTGTGTTAATTCTCGTTTTTTCTGGATCCACATTCCACTCCACTCAACATTCAACAGTAATTGAATAATAAAAACACTATAAATAGACGCTGCTTGCTTCTAATAAAAAATGAATTAAAATGAATAGGTAAATAGTATACAGTATACACTGTATACGCAATAGTCTGAGTTTGTACTTTTCGAAAAATTGCCTACGTTGAACTTAAGGACGTCCTTTTAATAGTATACTTTTTCAAGAAATTACCTACATTGTTATGTACAATGCTGAAAGTAAAACAACTTTTTTTGAAAATGATCAATAGTAAGTATTTATTTATTTTTTGTTTATTAATATTGTGTAGGTATACACTGTGCTGTGTTAATGCTTATAATAATATAATATAATTAATAAAATATTATGCTAAGGGTCTATAAGGAATATATGTTATAACATGATTAGGCTTTTTGAGTCGTATCCAGTAACCACTTTAAAAAAAAACGCAGGTAAGTCGTGTCAACAACTTTTGAATTTTGATAACTGGAAAATGCATCTTATGCATTTGTGAAGTGCTTACTTGTAAGCATAGCTAAAATATGAATCTAATTTCAGAATAAAATCAATTACTATTAATGGCGTTTTTACATCTTTTGAAATTATACGAACTCAAACGGTTCTTATTGTGTGGCCAAGGCCTTTGTTAGTTGTACGTGACCTAATAATTGTGATAACCATGCTAATAATAATTAAGATCATACTACTTTTTTTAGCATGGTTTAATTATACTCATTGACCTGTTGAGTACGATAGCTTCTATTTTAAAGCCTTAATAAAAGTACTTATAAAATCATATGTTTATTTAGTAATTATAATGTGTTTATTTTTTATGTTATTAATTTTTGTTAGCCTATTAAAAATGTATTATCTATAACCATTGATAATATAATGGTTAATCAATGCAATAGCCAATAACTAAGTTGAAGCCAATAAAAGATGTATATTCACCTTGCCTAATGGATATAGGTAATGCCTACACATGTTTAGGGCCTAAATGTTATTGTGAATACTATTTGTACTATTTGTTTTAATTTTCTTTAATTTAAACATGATTTATATTTTAATAAAATATTTTCGTTAAAACATTATTGAACAAATATTTAAATTTGATTTGGGTACTGAAAAATGTTTCTAATTGTATATAAACATAGTTAAAATTATTATTTTGCAAAACAATAATTAGATTAAAACCAAAATATTGTTTTTTTTTTATGTTGTAGATATTGATGTTCAATAATGCTGACTTGTTATAGAAACTAGAATGAACAACAAACTAATCCTCGAAATATTTATTTAATAGTTTTGATGAAATATTTTGGTAAGGTTTTGTATTTAACTATATATTTAAGACTCGCCGTAATATTTAATTAATGCATAAAATTGGGATTATGAAATTGACTGCCTTCCTTTACTGTCTTTTCTCAAAAGACAATAATGTTATTATTTTTTTAGGATGAATATTTAGAAAACAGAAAAATGATTTCATCAAATAATTGCATTGAACATGAAGCAGTTACCAACTTTAGGGAATATCTTCGTATACCTTCAGTTCATCCGAATATTGATTATAGTATGTTAATTAAATTTTATTAGACTAAAACATAAAATGTATTGAATTTATTTAAATTTGTTGCCATCGCTGATACAGGTAAATGTGTGGAATTTATTTTGCGACAAGCTCAAAGCCTCAGTTTGCCATCCAATGTTTATTATATGGCACCAGGCAAGCCTATTGTTATTATAACTTGGACAGGGCAGAAACCTGAATTACCATCAATTCTTCTCAATTCACATATGGATGTAGTTCCTGTTTATCCAGTTAGTATAATATATGGTATTTAACTACATTTTATTTATACATTTATTGTTTATCGGTGTCGAAGGACAAGTGGACTTACAAACCATTTTCAGCACACAAAGACATAAACGGTGATATTTATGCAAGAGGAGCACAGGACATGAAGTGCATTGGAATTCAGTACTTGGAAGCAATTCGAAAATACCGTAGAGAAAAATTAGTTTTTAATAGAACTATTCATGTTTCTTTTGTTCCAGGTCAACAACTTCTTTTCAAAGCGCTAAACAATAATAATAATTATTTTTAAATAAAATTGTATTGTAATTTTAGATGAGGAGATCGGTGGATTTTTTGGTATGCGGATATTTGTGAAATCACCTGAATTTTTAGCTTTAAATGTTGGATTTGCATTAGACGAAGGCATGCCCAGTACTGATAATAGTTTTACTTTGTTCTATGGAGAACGAACATGTTGGCGTATGTTAGACCACTGTTGTCTAAATTGTTCATAAGCTAATAAGTAAGACAATTTTTATATTTTATATGAACAGATCTTTTTATCAAATGTATGGGTACGCCCGGACACGGATCATTGCTCCACGATAATACAGCTGGTGAAAAGTTACGTTATATCATCGACAAATTTATGGATTGGCGAGATTGTGAAAAACTAAGATTAAAAAATAGTGATTTGGGACCAGGCGATGTTACATCGGTCAATTTGACAATTATAGAAGGTGGTTGTCAAATAAATGTTGTGCCACCAGAATTTACCGTCTACTTTGATGTACGGTTGGCTGTCGAAGTCAATTGTGACATAATGGAAAATGTAATAAAACAATGGTGTAAAGAAGCCGGCGAAGGAGTAATATTAGAGTTCACGGAGAAAGGATGTCATGTTGAACCAACTAAACTGAACGATGAAAACCTTTATTGGGTTGCGTTAAAGAATCAATTTGATAAAATGTAAGTAATTGAGAAATTACTCTTAAAATAAATTATGTTTTTTTATTTTTTGACATAAAATATTATGTTACTTAGGAATTTAAAATTTAAGAAAAGTATATTTCCTGGATCGACCGACAGTATATTTATCAGAGAGGTAATATTTTAAATTTAATTTACTGTTTATAACACTAGCCACCAAAATGTTATACTTCAAGACTATTCATCATATTTTAGCTTTGATGAAGAGGAAAATAATTTTTTTTTATACATAGATAATACATACATACATACGTTCATAATTCTTTAAAATTGATAGTAAAAATTATACAAGTAATTTTATTTATTAGTTTTTTGTTGCAATATCGTTACTTATTTAATTATCTATTTAATAACTAAGCACATCAAAATTAATTTAAACAAGTACAAGGTTGAGGAAAAGTAAAACACAATATTTAGTGGCCAGTGTAGTAATATTTATTCTTTGCTTATCTTTCTCGTTATTATTTATTTATACTTGACAGATGTATTAATTTTTTTTTTTTGTAGTTAGGCATTCCAGCAATAGGATTTTCACCAATTAATAACACACCTATCCGTTTACATGATCATAACGAATTTTTGAACGAGGTGACGTTTCTTAAAGGCTTAGACATTTACTATAATCTAATTAAAAGTCTTGCTTTAGTGTGATTATTGTAAACGCATTTAATTTATTAAATTTACTATTATAATTATACTACTGTATTTAATATATTAAAAGTTAATTAACGTTATCGTCCTCCTAATTTCCTTTCTTTCCAAGGCTGGATTTCTTATTTGATTGTTCTTTTCGCATGTTTTATTAATTGTTAAATTTGTTTTTATTGTATATTGATTAGTAATTGTCGTGCTGTAATATTGTTAAAATAAAAACACATTAATTTAAAAAATTTAATGCATAGTTAAGTTATTTGACACCTCAATTAACACTTCCCTCACACCTAAAAAAACTTATTTTGTAAAAAGAACAGGTCAATTTAAAACTCTTATTTAATTAAAAATAAAAAACAAATTTAAAAAAAATCTAATTTTTAAAAAACAAGTATAATTAAAATCACAGCATTTAAATATTAAACATTATAAATGCTTTCCTACTATTTAAAAGCCATGTTAATACTTTTAGTATCTTATAATTGTAAATTTGTCTCAGAGGGAAATGGAAATAATAAATTACCTATTCTAAAATATTAGTCTTAGAATATTGTAAATTCAGCTCAAACCCTACAGTTTTGGGAAATGATTATATTAATAATTGTAACACTCACAAAATGTATTAATACAAGACTATTTTGTGCTGCATGCAATTATTATAATTTTCTTAGCTACATTATAATATTATCTTGAAAAATTAAATAATATTTTATATTATCAGTTTTTACAATTTACAGATTTGCATCGAGTCATATACTTGAATGTGGTTTTATCGCTATCAAGTACAATTAATTCTAGAAGACATGTCAGATGAATTTATCTTTTATGTAAAATTTAATAGTTTGAAGATAAAAACATTATTTCTTTGGAGTTATGACAAAAAAATTATGTTGTTTCATTTTTTTTATTAAGAATATTGTGGTTTGTTAATACATCAAGCAGCCGAGTTGGCAAAAATAGAAAGAAAAAGCTAAATGTCTTTCATGTAATCAATACATTGAAATTTTTAACAATAATTTAGGTACCCATATATTATATTGCCAATATAAAACTGTGTACACTTTATTTTATGTTTAAAATGTTTTTTTTTTTGTTACACACATTTACCACAATGCATACAATTATAAGAAAACTGATACATGAATACTGATAACCTTATGATACTGATTACCATAAAATACCTCATACGCTATTGTTTATTTTAAGTATTAGTACTCAACGACATGATTATGATAAACTCGTAATCTAGGATTGATTATGATTTTATGGCTGATTGTAAAATAGTTAATTATGAGAAGTTAATGTACTCAGGCAATTAAATAAAATGCATATTTGAAGGGTTACAGGGAAAAAACCAGCAGTCACTTTTTAAAAATGGCAATTTTTTGTTATAAAATTCGTTTTGAAACAAAACGAATCTGTTCTTTACTTTTAAGCACGATTATTAACAAAAATTTACAATATTTTAAAAGTTTTAAGTATTTCTTCAACATTTAAAAACATATTTTTCTTAGATTAGAAAAAAGTGACTGCTGGTTTTTTCTCTGTACCCTTCATTTGTGGATTGAACTTATTAGAAGTAGAATTTAAACATAATTGTTGTCGCAAGAATATAAATATTAAGACACTAATTACTTTTTAGAAGTGTTTAATTACATTGATAACTGTAATTTATCTTTTTTTATTTATGTACTTTAATCGTTATTACTATTTTTATTAGTTTTTTAAGCACTTAAAAGATTATATATTAATTATAATATATAAAAAGGCATAAATTATGTATTTTATTAAATACCCAATTGTCAACACACACTTAGTTGTCAAGTAAAATTATTGTGACTAAACCATTCAATTATTGTTGAGTAACAATTACAAAAAAGTATAAGAGCTTTAATAATAGTTTAAATGTAATAGGAAAATTGAAAAGATTAAAAATTTGTTAGTTTATCATTAAATCAACAAAAAAATTATTTTGGCTTATCATAATCATATACTATTGTTTATTAGAAATAAAATACTATATTTTAGTTTTGCTTTACAGAGTCCATACGATAAAATGGCCGAGAATACAACTGAAAATGAATCCGTCACACTCTTCAGGGAGTATTTACGTATACCATCTGTTCAGCCAAACGTCAATTACAGTAAGAGTAATTTAAAAATAGTTTCTATACAAAAAAAATTATTATTTGGTTGAGTTTATTAACAATATGTTAATGATTACAGGCGATAGTGTTAAGTTTTTTAAGGGCCAAGCTGAAAAATTGGGTCTTCCGATTAAAGTCCACTACATGAGTCCAAACACACCAATTGTAGTTATTACGTTATCCGGAAAACAACCGGAACTACCATCAGTACTGCTTAGTTCTCACATGGATGTAGTTCCAGTGTATCCGGTTAATACTTATAGTGCTTAAACGATCGTAAACATTTATTTGTAATAATGTATTTTTCTTATTTTTTTTTTAAGAAATGTTGGAAACACGACCCTTTTTCAGCATACAAAGACGAAACTGGAAACATATATGCTAGAGGTGCACAAGATATGAAATGTGTGAGCATTCAATATATAGAGACAATTAAGAAATATTTGCAAGAGAAATTGAATTTTAAAAGAACCATACACTTGTGTTTTACGCCAGGTAACATTATGTATAATTCTGTAATTTGTAAAAAAAAACATTCTAACATCAAGATCAAGTAAAAAAAAAAAGTATTAAATAAAGCATTGCCTAATTCAAACACCACAGTAAAGTAATTATAATATTTAAAATTTAAATTTCAGATGAAGAAACGGGAAGTCTTTTTGGAATTCGTAAATTTATCAAAACTTCCGAGTTTGCTGAAATGAATATTGGCTTTGTTTTGGACGAAGGAAAAGCTACACCTAATGAAGTATTCAATGTGTTTTATGGAGAAAGGACTATTTGGGGTAAAGAGTTTAGGTTATTAAGTTATAATTAACAGCTAATTTAAATTACAACATGAATAAATTGTATGGTTTATAGGTTTAACTATCACTTGTACTGGAACAACTGGTCATGGATCAATATTATACGAGAGTACAGCTGGTGAAAAACTACAGTACATCATCAATAAATTTATGAATTGGAGAGAACGTGAAAAGACTAGACTAAGAAATACAAACTTAGAGCCAGGAGACGTGACGTCTGTTAACCTAACTAAAATTAACGGAGGATGTCAGTTCAATGTACTTCCTCCGGAAATATCTGTCTCATTTGATATTCGTTTAGCGGTCGAAGAAGACCCAAAAGAAATGGAGGAAGTTGTTAAAAGTTGGTGTATTGAAGCTGGTGAAGGCGTTAGCGTTGAGTTTAAAAAAGATCCGATACGCGTTCCCCCAACCAAAATATGCGACAACAATCTTTGGTGGGCCGCATTTAAAAGGGAATGCAACAATATGTAAGTAGTAATCCCATTAAATTTGAAAATAATAACATGGTAGTGTAATTATTTCAGGAAGTTAAAAATCAATCCTTGCATATTTACTGGAGCAACAGATAGCAGATTTATAAGAAACGTAAACTTGAGAGTCATAGTTTTTAAATAATGTTTATATTTTACTTATTAATTATTTGTTTTTAGGTGGGAATACCAGCTCTGGGCTTTTCCCCTATGAATCATACTACACCATTAGCTCACGATCATAATGAATTTCTCAATGAGAATATATTCATAAAAGGTTTGGACATTTATTATAATATAATCAAAGCGTTGGCATCAGTTTGATATTATACTAACTCACAGCAATAATAATTGTATAAAATTATATGTATTAATTTAAAAAAAAAAATCCATGCAAAAATACACGTAGTTTTATGAATTACAACCAACCAGTTTAGTCATACTATTTCACCATTTATCTACCATCCAAATAAGTATTCCAAAGTTTTCGTAACGATTCCGTTTGAAGTTGTCGCAGATGGTGCATTCTATTGATCAAAAACATTTTAGTTAAAATAAAATCATTCTAGTTATCTTAAAACAAGTAGGTATACTCACATCGTTTTGTTGAACTGGCAAAGGCTTACCGACCATTGGTCTTATATTATTTCTCCGAATAATAGAATTGTTGGGACTTGTACATTGTTGACCTAAAATTGGTGACCGGATAGGTTTTGCTAACACTTCGGCATGTGCACCAGTACATGCGTTTGGAATGGCACTTTCATTCAAAATGGTCTGAAAAATATTAATAAGTTGAATAACAAATTCTGATCAGATAATACATTTTTTATAGTTAATAACAATCAATACCTTATCGTTGCACTGAATAACTCCAATCATTGCACCATTACTAGTTACATGACCATTAAATAATAGAGCACGATGATAGTCGGTGGAATCACTAAAACATATGTGAGCCCAATTTGGTCCTGCTTCTCTAACATCACAGCATGATGACATGTGTGTGAACTTTGACAATATTTCTTCTTTGTTAGCCAATGAAAAACCAAATATAGTAATCCAATTTACTGATGATTTTTTTGGTAGTACTAAGTCGTTGCGTTCTGAATAAAATTCTTTATTTTCTTTGTTATTGCATCTGAAGTGGGGTTAAAAAAACAGCATTAAAGTTAAAATGCATTTGTTCTGTTCTTTTTTTTAAATTTAGAAATTATTTTTAAAATTGGCCCTTACTGTTCTTCTTTATAATCAGATGCATTGAGCATATCAAACAGATCGATTGTGGGAGCTTTTGATGGTTCTTCATTGACTCTGTTTAAAATCGGTGTTGAAGACCTAAAATTTGAAGAAATAAAAAGGTAGTACTCAATAACCAACATGAAAATACATGGTGTGTGTTCTTACGGTTTGTCACTGAGCTCGTTATGAAAATTTCTCATTAAAAACGTCGAATGTACATCAGAAGCATGGCTGCGGTTTGAATGCATTGGAGACATAGCACTTATGGATATGTTGTTGACTGGAGTTTGTGCTCGTTCGCCCATCAAGAATCCGGGCAAATAAGATGGTTTTTGTGGACTATCGTGCGACGGAGAACCCAACGCCATTGGCTCCATGTTAGATAGATGATTTATTTAAAACAATTAATATTTTTAAAACTGGGAACAAATACTACTTGCCAAAAACAGTCAAAATTTTGTTTTTCGTAAAAAAAAAAAATTGAAAATGTTTAAACGTTTTAATTGAATTTAGTTATTATTGACCGCATGCCATTTAATTATTGTTTAAATTTTTTCGAATTGACTATAGAGTGTTGTTACTTGTCAGTTGTTAGCCGGAGACCGAACCTTAGCCATAAGTCCACAACTCTCACAAGTCTCAACGGATATTTGGTGTTCGCCGTTCTGTATTGATATAGTTGATAATAATAATAATTCAAATATTATAGTCATGGTTTATGACGAAAAAACTAATAGGTACGCTAGCAACGTTTGTTATCGAGTTTTGCAAAATGGTGGTCGATTTTCACCTGTTAGGATACACGCCCACCCTAGAACGAAGGCGCCATTTTGCACATCGTAGGCGTACCTGTGTCTATTTGATGACGACTCTAACGATATCGATGGTGGGTTCATGGTAGAAACAGCGACTATACATCCGGATCATGGAAGAAACCTAAAGGAGTGGCCAACCTGATCGCTATAAAGTCGTCGACGTTTAGGGCTTTGATCCGTTTTGTAGTTCGTACCTGCATCCTTGACATGTTATATCCATATGCCCATTTACCATAAATAGAAATGTGCAGTCGTGTTATATAGTGATTACTGAATCTGATTCACTATTGGTGATTTTCGTCGGTCCTTCTGTGTGTGTACGCCTTCAACAGGCCCGCCGCACCTCTTGGCTCTTATACAAACGAGCAATCTAAATTCAGCATGTGGGAGTATCCAGTAACGCCTACATAATATGTGAGTAGACTAAATAACCAACACAGCCATCTGGACGTTGCAATAGATAAACATTATAGTTTTTTTTCTCCAATTTTTTTAGGTCGACTTGACTTACAAATAACTCAAATGCCTGGGTAAGTCGGAGTTAGATTCTACAATACTACCGTTTGGATTGACTGAAAGCTTAAGTACCGTTTCAGTGTGACAATGTCGTTCAGCAACATGTCGTGCTCCCGTTGCGGAGACGGCTTCGATCCCCACGATAAAATCGTCAATTCCCAAGGAGAGCTGTGGCATCCTCAATGTTTTGTGTGAGTAGCACAGTATATATTTAGGTACAGTTCGATATTTTAAATAATTCTTATTGTTGCTGATTTTTGTAGATGTTCTCAGTGTTTCCGTCCGTTCCCCGATGGATTGTTTTATGAATTTGAAGGTCGCAAGTACTGCGAACACGACTTCCAAGTGTTATTTGCTCCGTGCTGCGGCAAATGTGGTGAATTCGTTATTGGTCGTGTCATTAAAGCCATGTCGGCCGCCTGGCACCCGGCTTGTTTTTGCTGCGCTGTTTGTAATAAACAGCTGGCTGATCGTGGATTCGTGCGTAATCGTAATCGAGCCCTGTGCCACGAATGTAACGCAGCAGATAAAGCCGTTCTGTCAGGCAGGCACATTTGCTTCAAGTGCCAGTATGCAAACATTTTTTTTTAATTGTACACGTTTTTTAAATTTATTAACGGGTTTTTTATTTTATACTTTTAGCGGAGTAATTGATGATAAGCCATTGAGGTTCAGAGGGGAAGTCTATCACGGATACCATTTCAATTGTACAGCATGCGGGGTCGAATTAAACTCCGATGCTAGAGAGTTAAAACATAGATCAGGTTATACGGCTAACGAGATGGTAATACAATTTTATATGTCAGTCTAGCATTTTTGTTATTCAAAATGTTGTTTTATGTTAATTGATCTTATTGCTTTTTAGAATGAACTCTATTGTCTTCGATGTCACGACAAGATGGGCGTACCAATATGTGGAGCTTGTCGTCGTCCGATTGAAGAGCGAGTAGTGACTGCATTAGGAAAACATTGGCATGTTGAACATTTTGTCTGTGCAAAATGTGAAAAACCATTTTTGGGTCATAGGCATTATGAACGCAAAGGATTGGCGTATTGTGAAACCCACTATCATCAGTTATTCGGCAATTTATGTTTTGTGTGTAATCAAGTAATTGCTGGTGATGGTAAGATTATATTTGGACATATTTCTAAAAATAATTTCTTTCTCAAATTGCTTATTTTTGAATTATTTTTACAGTATTTACTGCTCTTAATAAGGCATGGTGTGTGCATCACTTTGCGTGCTCATTTTGCGATCAAAAAATGACTCAAAAAACCAAATTCTATGAATGCGACTTGAAACCGGCTTGTAAAAGATGCTATGACAAATTTCCATCTGAATTTAGACGCAGGTTACGCAAAGCATATGACAATACACCAAAAAAAGGCACTTCGGCTTAAATTTTTAATTTTTAAAATATTAATATTTTAACTATCAATCAAAGTTTTTATAAATTATTATTATTAACACGTCCAACGACAATCATTAAATTCAGTATATTAGCCATATTTATTATACTGGTAATAACAATAATTATAATTATGTCATCGACCAAAGTATTAATATAAAATTTGTGCCATCGCACAATGCTTAATATGCACATAATTACACAATATAGTTTTACGCTTCATTAACGTGTTTGTAGTTAATTTTTTACATACATATCACTATATTTTTTTTATGGAATTATTAAAATATTATTATAGGATATATACTTAGAGAATTATTAATGGATTATTGTTAATATTTAGATTTATTTTTTTTTATTATTACTAAATTATTAATATGGACGATCAATGCCGTTAAATTTCTTATAATAAAAGTTTATTTTAGATAAAAAAATGTGTTAAATTTTATTTTATACTTTGTTAAGTTTTATTACTTGACAAAGATACATTTAAAACCAAAACCATTAATTAAGTGTACAATTATTGGCCATATTGTATAACCCTTCAGGTTCAGGGTTACTACTTCTAAAAGCTTATGTGGTTAGGTCAATTTAGATCAAACGTGTGTGTTGGTTTTTAAGAAAGAGGTAATGTCATAATTATACAATTGTGTTACATTTCGTGTATGTCTATTGTCTGTTTACATTTTACTGCCTACGACAAATCGTCGCCGAAAATTCAAGTTTATTCATAATAAACATTTTTAACCTCTTTGAAATTACAATTTACATATAATATAACCAAGGTTGCCAAAACAATTTTATCCTAAACGTTGATTTGTGTACTAGTTGTGTTGGGACTTGTGATATCTTATCAACAGACAACAATACGATCCGTTATTTTCGCCTATCGGTACATTATACTGTAAAGTGTAAACAATATACACTCAACTAATACGGATTACGGAATAAGAATCTTTCTTAATCCTTAAGTGCAAAGTTTCTAAATTACATTGTAAAATATAATAATTAGTTGTGTTGCTGTTAAAGAAATCAATTTACATGGCTGACGACTGTAAGTAGATATAATATATTGGACATAATAAATGATTATACAACAAAAAAACGTCATCTCACGTTACATGGAAATCACATGTTAGGATAGCATTATTAAGCACGAGTACATTTAGTTGTATAATGTAGAAACTAAAACATTTTGTACGATTTTGGCAACTTAACAGAATTTTCCTAAAGAATCGATAGATTTGTTTAAAGGTATCAAACATTTACGGTATTTATTGATTTCTCGGATTGTTATTGAAACCAAAAACGATAAAACTTAAAACATAAATAATTAGTAAATTTTGAAATACATCTTAATTTATAAATTTTACTTGTTTAAATATGTAGATTTTCGTTAAAAGATATATTCTTAATCCATATATTATATTATATGTATTATATATATATATATATATATATATATATATCGTTAGCTTATGTTGTTAAGTAATTAAATTTTTTTCTTAACCATATTTAATACTCTATTATGATTGCACAAATAAACATTGTTCTGTTAATTATGTTCTAGTGGACCTGTCCCTAATTAATAACTTTGAAGAGGAACTGGGTTCGGTATTAAGGCATTGCCGTAGCGCATCTCGAAAACTGAAACAGTTAACGAGTAGCAAGGTTGAACTGAGTCTAAAGAATCAAGTAAGATTACTATATTTTTATTTACATATTCATTTAAATGACCTTCCTTTTTTTTTATTAACATTTGTTTTAGCTAGAAGTGAATTATAATGAAAATAATATTGATTTAAGCATAAAAAATATTTTGGACGACGTCCAAAATATACGCAAAAAAATTGATACCATTGAATCTACAGTTGACTCTTCAGATAAAGTTTGTAATTATTATTCATACGTAGTAAAATATATTATGTTTAATTTTTTATTTTCAGACTTTATTCAATTTGAGTGAAACTGTAGAAGAGTTTGAAAGCATTGTAAACACAGTGTTGAAAAATAAAAACACTATATTTTCTCATCGTAAGTTAACTCACACTTACTATTACTACTTAACTATTATTAATGTGTTTATATTTATATATTTTTTAGGACATTTTTTGTAATCTACTTTTTAAACAATTCAAGTCTCAAGTTATAACGTATTAATAAAAAAAAATTAACCTAAACAATTTATATATATATTTATTAGTTAAGTTTTAAATTAATTAAAAATGTCATTCAAGCGTGAATGTAATGGCTCCGATAGTGATCTGCTCAAAACTCTCGGGGTAACAATTTAAATATTTTGTATTAATCTGTATAATCTTGCTGATCTAATAAACATAAACTGAAATAGGTTTTTAATTATCATTCTGTCAGATTATACAATTTGTACTACGTAAATTGTCATTGAATTATAAAACTGACACCTATTATATATTTAGTCTCAAAGGATTAAAGAGCTGTTAGGAATTCAAATACCTGAAGGCGAAGCAAAATTATTATCCAATGGCAGATTGACTTGTATGATTTGTATTAATAGACCAATTTTTGATACAATCAACGTACTATCAATTCATAGAAAGGGGAAAAAACATTTGTTAGGTATGTGTTATTTTTTACTTACTATTTACTATTTTAAATTGTGAGTCTAATTCACAGATGTTCCATTACGAAAAATGTTATTTTAGGCTTTTTACTTTTTTTTAATAATAAATTAACGCATTGAATAAAACCATGAAATCAGCTGTTAAATGTTTAACTGATAAGTGATAACATTAAAAGTTTTTTGTCTTTACTTAACATAGATTTCGTTTGGAATTATAATAATTGGGATTAGGCTGTAGAAATATATTATAATTTTAATAATAATTCATTTGTATATTAAAGAACTCGGTAAATATCTGCAAAGAAAAGAAGAACTAGATTTGATAAAAACAAAAAGGCAACAAAAAGAGTACACTAAATCATTAGGTGTTACGGTAGAACATGCAGGCCGTGGCGAAAGAAAGAAGATGCTAGATTTACCGGAAAGAGGTGAAATGACAGTGTTTTTATTTTAATAATTAACTGTTAAAGGCAATGAAATGAAGGTTAATGTTATTTTTAATTTTTTTCAGATATATTGGATAAGTCTGCTTCTTCTGTAGAATCTGCAATTGTTTCACGCTATGTAGCCTCAATGACAAAAAAGCCGTCCCTTAAAAGTGTTCTTAATCGTGCAAAAAAGCATCCTTACCAATGCCTAACTTCAGTGTCTATTGCTTCTACGAGCAGTTCTGGACTAGAGTCTAACTTCATTGGCCCTAAAAATAAACCAACTGAGTAAATTTAAATAATAATTTTATTTTTTTATGTTTATATATTTATAATGAGGGAACTTATAAAATATAAGATATAATATAATAATAATAATATAATAACATTGAAATAAGACATTTTTAAATTGCTTTAATTATGTTACGTTTATTATTGCTACAGTCTGAGTTTTACTTCTTTTTTTCTTTTTTACAGAATTGGTTGGATAAAAAATAATGATGGATCGTGGTCCAAAGATCCAAGTGCAGAATTTGATTCCGACGATGATTGGTAAGCTTCAGATGTGATTTATTGATATTGGTACAGTTATAATAGTTAAATATTGCATGATGTCGCAAAGAAGCATTTCAGTCTAAAGTGTGGTGGGGTTAAACATGTTAATTTATTGCTTATCCCATGAATTGGAAATCTAATGACTGCTGACGATGATAAAGTGATAAACCGCGGTGTTCCTAAAAATATATACACGATTATTTAAGAATTAAGACTCAATAATTATTTATTCTTCGCTATTACTTCTTTGTCGCTTACAAAATTTGATTTCCTTTCTGTCGCATGAGAACATTTTTCATCATCACAGCTCTTGCTTCTCCTGTAATTGTTTGTTCGACCAATAAATAACACATTTTGCCAATTCTAATAAGCAAAAAAATTTGTACTTACATTGAGAGTTTTCTAATTTGTAAGTTGTCCGTACTACTTATTTCCGATACGTCCTGGTCTTCAGGGATTCTAAAAATATTTATTGGTTATAGAATAAGTTATAATTCTAAAAATTAAATATATTACAGTTCACTTTTGCTGCTATTTCTGTTTCTCACAGTTTCTAACAGTTGAGACGACGAAGCAGTCATCTTGGCTTGAAGTAACTAAAAAAGATTAAAAGTAAATTTACACAAACAGCATAACAATTTTAGTATTTTCAAATATGTTTTCATTATTATTGTTATTATTTTTTATAATGATGTTTTGGCACAAAATGTAATATTTCAAAAATATTGTAAATATTTATATATTATTAAAACATTTAATTTTGTGCATTATTATTAATAACAGATTAAAAATATATTGAAAACAAGTTTGACAATATATTATAATAAAGATTTAAATTTGTTTGCTGTTGGGGTTAATTAGTATACTACGTAAAAACTCAAAAAAAGTCAAACAAATCTCTTGTTATCAATACTGTAGCTTACAGTTATAATTTTCATAGTTATAAATTACACTAACCGGCCATGACGTTGCTCTCATCTCTCTGAGATCTATGTTTCTGAAAAACTCGCTCATTACAAGTTGTTCTATAGTAGGCACTCGACCGGAAGAATTTTTAAATATAAATTCCATTATCTCAACAACCTATGAAATTATATTCATAATTTTAATAAATTATGATAATATTGTAGGTAGATTATGTGTTTATCAATCCTTTGCCTATACATACTTGGGGGTAGTGAGCAATGTCTCGTAAATTGATTACATTTGGTTCAGGAGTGAGCAATTCGTATCCGGCTGCCATTTCGAATAATACGTGACCTAAAATCGGTGATATTTGTTGTAGATTTTCAATCAAGATACACTATAGAAAATTTCATACCAAAACAAACAACATCAATTGCCGAAAAATCGTCCAACTCGAAGTTGCCACTCATGATAATTGGCTGTATTCTGGACGTGAAACCTAGCAGAGAGTTTTCTAGACCGGATATCCTTTGTGAGAGTAGTAAACAATTTAATAATATGACTTGTATAATTTAATTTGTATTGCTATTTTAATAATAAAGCTCGTAATAATAATAATACCTGGCGACTCCATTTTGAAGAATAACATTTCCCGAATGTAAATTGCAATCGTGCGGAAACTTTTTTTTCTTTAGAAACAGAAGTGCCTCTAGAATTTGTCGACCGAGTCTTTGTATTTGTGATAATGGCAAGCCCTCGCTGCGCTGTCCATATTTATCGTTCCAGTCATCGTGCCAACAGCTCTATTCAATAATAGTCGGTCAATACATTGGCGGGTAATTATTTTGTTATTTAGTGTTTAAATATTATAAGTCATGGCTACCTTATAAATAAGATCTTTTAGACTTCCTTTACTGTTGAACGGTAGCACTAGCGTAATAAACGTAGTTTCTTGGTCTGTGGCACCCTGGACAAACTCAACGTCCAACACTGGATAAATGTACGGGTGTTGTAAAGTTAAAAATAGGTCCAATATTGTTTGTCTAGTGTCAGGTGTACACTCTAAAACACTCTTGGGATTTTTAGGCACAAGCGTTAACAGGCGTTCCGTCTTAACTGATCCATCACGTACAACAAACCAATGTTTGTCGACTCTAAATAAAAAAATAGTACAATTAATCGAGTTCAGTGCGGTAGCAATAATGTTATTATAATTATAATAAAATTCCAACTTATACCTAGAACCAATATCATTGAGGTGTTGTAGAAGAACATAGCGAGGGCAAAACCTTAAGTAATGTTGACATGCATTTTGAGCGTGTTGTCGAGCTTTGCGTTCCAGCTCCATTCGCTCTTGTCCTATTGAATCAGGTTCCAGTGCTGTATACTGGTACCGGCTACTTCTTCTGTGAAAAAAAAACAAACAAATTTTATCCAATAAATTAATATAAACACTAGCGGCGTTTTAATATATCTAACGGTAAAGTTTGGTTAATTAAGACTCTGTTGTGGGTATTCTAACTTTTTTGCGTGTTTCAAAGTACAGTAGTCGCACATCTCAAAATAATTTTCTTGGGGTCCATTGCCGAACCACCAAGCAAGGCGGAACTTGAACGGACATATGGACTGCCTCGGCCTAGCACTACGGTCGGGTTTACGTGTCATTAAACGACCGTTCACTCGATACACGGGTCTGTTGATTTGCGTATCCGATGACGATACATTGTAGTTTTCGGTCCGATGTGAAGACGATACCACGGATATAATTGTGCGCGTATTATATGTGCTAGATTTTGAAAAAGCCATTTTTTCTTCTTGTAGACACTATGGATGGCTGCGAAGATACGGTAACACTTGTCACACTTGCTTCTGCTCTTAACTTTAGTGTTTTTTTTTAAATATCACTGGCAAAACAGTACTGTACGTTTATTTTATACAAATAAATTAACAGGAGCGTTTGTACCACTTTGTACTGTGAGAATTAACCATGGTTTTTAACTGTGCTTATGTGAACAATAACCCAAAAATATCACATAATTTCACAAGCTCCGTGAAATGAACGCTTAATGCTCGACTTTGGACCACACACATACATCATTATTAGTTATCATTTAAATAAAGCTATTTTTATTTAGGGTGAAACCGTGTATTACTGCCTAATTGGTATTACAATATGTAGTCGTTATTACCAAACCGTAACGTTGTAACCTACTCGCTATTAATTTTGTTATCATTATTATTTTTTTTTTTAATGGAATCCTCCAGTTTACCATATTTCCATTTTATACGATTATCATAATCAGAACTGAACAAAGTTTCAATGCTTTAAGAAGACGCCTTATTAAAAACCTTCGATACAGGCGATCTTTTGCAAGAAATTGATTTACTAAAATTATTTTTTTTTAAATATATTTGATGCAACCCTTGACAGAATATTATTGTTAATTTTTTTTTAATGTGTTAATAATTTACTGTTTAAATAAGAAAGATCGAAAAGAATTAGCAGACTTAGGGTTTTTGCACTAATTAGACGGCTTAAGCCGTATTCCCCTCACTACCAGTTATTCAGTTGTGTGAGTACCCAACAACCGTGTTATATTTTCTAATAAAACACATTAATCTGTGTGCGAAAAACATTTAGCCCTCAACGAAACCATCAAGAAGCACGAACGCGTGCTAACTGCAAATGAAATGTCTGCAAGAAATCTTCACCCAATTGTTCACCTCAAAAAACACGAGGTTGTGCGTACTAGTGAGAAACTATACAAATATAGTGTATATTAGATCATATATTTGTATGGTTTTTCACCAGTAAGCACAATATTTTAAGAATTTTTAACAAGAATAAATATAAGAGCTACCCAAATTCTTAATGTTTAGTATAAAGTCAGTTGTTGATAAATTACTTAATTGGTTTGTTTTGTATACAGTTGCTGTTTGTGAAAAAAAAGTTAACCGAAGATCTCACCTCAAGAAGCACGAGATTGTGCGTACTGGTGAAAAATCATACAAATGTAGTATATATTAGAGCATATATTTGTATGGTTTTTCACCAGTAAGCACAATATTTTAAGAATTTTTAACAAGAATAAATATAAGAGCTACCCAAATTCTTAATGTTTAGTATAAAGTCAGTTGTTGATAAATTACTTAATTGGTTTGTTTTGTATACAGTTGCTGTTTGTGAAAAAAAAGTTAACCGAAGATCTCACCTCAAGAAGCACGAGATTGTGCGTACTGGTGAAAAATCATACAAATGTAGTATATATTAGAGCATATATTTGTATGGCTTTTCACCTGTAAGTACAATTTTTTACCGATATTTTAAGAATTTTATCAAGAATAAATATAAGACCTACTAAACTTCTTAATGTATTGAATAGAGACATCTTTTGTTATAATAGTCTTTTTATAATAATTTTCTATCTACGTGTCTTGATTTGGGATACAATTTATTACTGTCTTCGAATTTTTCTTAACATACAACCTCGAACACGTGCATACTGATAAGAGACCATACAACTGAAATATTTTCTTTTTATTCCCTTTCTTTACTCTATTCTCTTTAACGCCTCTAAAAGAATTTTCATAATTATTTAAAAAATGAAGTAATTATTTTAGATTTAAAAAATAGTTTTTTTTAACCTAGTATAACCAAAAAATAATCAAGAAATAAAAAAAAAAATCTTTGGCAGGTGGGGTCATAGTTTAAGTCTTGATATTTCTATTAATGCCAACATCATGTTTAGTTGTAAGAAGATTATATTTAGACATTTTTACAATGTAAAAAACTATAATTTTAAAGTTAAAAAAAACGGTAAATTTTCAACGACTTATTGTAAAAATAAAATATCGATTTTTGTGTTTGCGAACTCCTGAAAATCCAAATGTTACCCAGTTCAGCAATGTATAATATGTAATGTTCAGCAGTGTTTATTATCTTATCAAGTCCAATCACACAAGTAGTTCGATTTTTTATTAGTGTAAATATAAGCCTGTCGAATGCTATAAATGCAATAATCGTATACACGACAGTACTTTATGTATGTTGTAAATTTGTCATTCAACTGGAAGTTTACCTATCTACTAATTTTTTTTATCAGTAAATTAAATATAGTAATTAAGATTTATTACAGGTACATATAATTTATGTACAAATCAAAATTCTAACTCTAATATTTATTATTATTAGTAATTTATAACTGTTGGAATGACGCCCAACATTAAGGTGATACGATTTCATTACAAAACGACGTAAAATAAAATAATCAAAAATTAATATTTTTAATAGTTTTTACTACATCAAGTAACACATTCTGGGAAAATTGCTATTAATGTTCTGAAAAACAAATTAGATTTCGTTTCTTAATGAAGGGATTAATTATGCAATAACATTCCTTTGGAACTTGTTTCAAAATTGCCTATAAGTGTATAAACATCCGCCTTAATTACTTAGGAAAGTATTTTTTATGTACCTTAGCGAGCTTGCACAAGTACTTACGAGCATGCTTTTCTGATCCAATAGGCTAGGAAACCCAGAAGGCCAAAACCACTGACGAGTGCCACAGTCATCACCTATAAAAAAAAACAATCAACAAAACGTTTTATATGCAATATTGGTTGTTTTCATTAAATCACATGAATCGTATTCATTAAGCATAGGCAACTTAGATACGCTATGTGAGAGTCGAGTCTCCACTTATTTAGAAACTTGTTTTATTATGTTCGGTACTTATACCAATGTCTGTAATTGTAATTACCGAGGTAAGTTGCTTCTTATTTCTTGCCACATCGAATTTTATTTTATTTAAACATAAAAACAACCAGAATCAAACGCATGTTTATTATATTTCATGTACATTATTATTTTTTTGTTTTGTAACGAAAACCAAAATGTCTTTTCCTTGCCGAGTCCAAATTTGGTCTATAATCTAAAGTTTGTTTAAAGTATTGATGTTTAAAATATTTTTTACTGCTGTACTCACAACCAGTTTTGTAATGATTTTGGGGATTATAAGTTTTGATGTATAAGAGACCGTTCATTTGTTCATGCGTTATAGACTATAGTACTAAAAATGGTAGAAAATAATATATAAGTATATTAAACATTACCAAAAACGTTACCTATAAAATTACTTCTGTGTTTGTAGACTAAAATAAAAATTGCAAGCATGTATGGATATATTATGTAATTATTATGCGTGGTGAAATTGTAGTGTAATATGTTGATTAATATGTAGTGGTTTTTTTTTGTTCAAAACTAATGAGCGGGCTACGATAAGGTAAGTACTTTTACAGTTCAAATGTGTCGGTTGAACTGTTAACATCTAGAGACTATATTATAATTTATGTATGTGTATGACGTACACGTACATTTGCTCGAGTTGACCTTGACATTAATTATTATTATTATTTTCGCGTGACCGCTTTCCATGATTTATTTTTGTGTACCGGAAGTAAATTTTCCCGACATCAAATTCATCACGCAACCCCCGTTTCATTATTACGGATAATAAACATAACTAACGGATTTAAACAACAACCTTTTAATAGCCACACTCGCGTGTGTGATTTTGCCAAAATGTTCCTTAAGCTTAATGCCGGTTTATGGGGGTAAAGACATTTTTAATAAGTGAGTAGGGGAAGGGGCAGAATGGTATTCGGGTCCATAATGTATTTAGAGATTTTATTAAATAATAAATGCGACGCAGTTTTACTTTTTGCTATTTCTACATAGGTAAGAGCAGAATAAGATTTCGATAGAGATCGTACCAAGTAATAAGAAACTGCCAAATCGATTCCAAAAGACTGGTCGACTCTTTTTCCAGGCACAGCCACATGGACCGTCATTCTACAGCGACGTCCGCCACACCGTCGTCTGCTCTTCCGGTATTACTTTCCTCGGTGTCCGTTGTCGTCACTCGTCCAAACCGGAAGTCCTCGCGACGCCGGCCGCGATCGTCGGGAACAAGAACAGCAGTACCGTAAGCCGTCAACACTTCCTGTACAAGTAGACACTATTATTACAAAAGAGACGATCGTGCTCACGGGATCAATGGAGACATTCAGATATAGAGGTATATACGCGAGATACTAAATTAATTATAGTTTTCCGGCCAGTATTGTATTATTACCGTAAGCAGTCGATAAACTCACCCTTAGCGGTCGTCATCGTCTGTGACTACTACGCGTCTGGCACTTATCATGAAATATTTCAAGAGGACGCTGGTTTCTTTGGTTTTTGAGATGCGGCCCGCCGTATAGGGTCGGCTTAGGTATTATTGTTATTCTATAACACTGATTTGGGTACGAACGATACGTTTTGACGTTGCATACATATATTATTATCGTGTAAATATTGTTATCGAACGGGCGCGAGCCGTTTTGGAGAAACGAACCGCGCGTGCTGCGCTGTGCCAGGGCGCAAGACCGTCGGCACCAGCACTGCGCCAGTCCCGTGCCCTATAAACGATTGTTTGGCTCCCACAGCTGTTACCCATGTACTGGCGTTTTTCATCCCCTAGGCTGGTTTGCATAATTTAAACTAAAAAAAAGTCAAAACGCACGCCAACATGGTGATATATATTTATACACTTATCATAATATACGAATATCATTAGTCATAACCAATTGGCATATCGGAGAAAAACAAAGTTCTGTAAGTCGTAATTATTACGGTTTTATTAAGGCCTCGGCCAGCGGAGTAGTTATGGGGCGTTGTCGGTTGAAGGTGGCATATCTGATAAAAGAGATTTTTGTAAAAGTATATAATTGATTCTATACCTGTAAAGTTAAAATCATGACCAAAAGTCTTCGGAAATTATTATAATTTATAGATGAATGTGATAAAAGTATAAGCACTTTAAAAAAAAACGCTGTGATACGAATTTTCAGATGGTGAACAAAATTGATTATTATTATTTACAAAGAGTGAAATCTTACTCTATGAGAGCTTAAAGTCGAGGTTTTTATTTTTGTTTTAAAATCAAACTAATTTCTAGTTGTTGAATCAAAAATCGGCCTTTTAGTCTCCATAGAAAAAATAGTAAGCTTCACATAAAAAAAAAAATTAAATCCGTCCTATAGATACGCCAGAAAATAACTTCCGATGAAAGTCATTGTTTACCAAAATTTCGCCATAACTCGGAGACAAATAACTTTTTATTAGTATTATAAATAGAAAAACCACATTTTTTTTCGTCTTAAAATTAGTCGACATTTGATTATTGGTAACAGTGGCGACGACTTATTAGGAAAGGTAGTCGGTAGACAATGGTAGACAATCAACCCAATACATATTCAACCAAATTTGTATGATGTCAAGTAATTTTTACATGGATTATCAATTTCCCATATTATATCTAGTATAAATGTTCAGTAGATTAAACTTAGCTCAACAATTAATAAAAAAAAGAAGAATGAGCATGTGCATTGTGCATACTAGTGAAAAATTATACAAATATAGTATATATTTAAGCATATATTTGTATGGCTTTTCACCTGTAAGACGTAAGTACAATATTTTACAGATATTTTAAGAATTTTAGTAAGAATAAATATAAGACCTACTAAACTTCTTAATGTATTGAATAGAGACAGCTTTTGATACAATAGTATTTTTGTAATAATTTAGCGATAATCGTGGAACTATTATTATTTATTTATACAGGTTTAATCTATGAAAATCGAATGTTTCTTAGATAATAACCAGCGTTTTAATGTGCAAATTAGGCTTTTAGATACAATTATAATACCTAAGTCTTTTATAAATTAATAAAATGTACCCAAGACATAATAAATATTAGACTGGGCCAAAAAAACAAACAATTTTTTTTTGAACGGTACTATGAAAATATTGTTCATGAATCATGATCATAAAAAAAATTATGGTGAAAGTTAATAAGCGTCAAATAAGCGTTTAATTTTCGTCAAACAAGCCGTTTTTATGGAAATCGTACTTTGAACATTTAACTGTTTTTTCAATTTTGTTTTTTGAGTTTGGATTTTTGTAACTACCACAAGTATCAATATTTAATTTTTAAACGGCTTGTTTGACAAAAATTTACAAAGAGAGCTTTTTTGTAGGGAATTCAATTTTCTTCAAGAATATGTATCAAAAGAATTTCAGGCCAATAATTTACGAGTTTTGGATAAAAAATGCCATTAGTGTAAAAAAACCGTCAGTCGTCATGATAGGTATTTTAATTTTAATATTAAGTGCTCTAACTTTCACCATAACTTTTTTTTATCACCATGATTCATAAACAATATTTTCATAGTACCGTTCAAAAAAAAAAAATTGTTCGTTTTTTTGGCCCAGTCTAATAAATATATATGTAACTAGCTGAATTACCCGGCGTTGCCCAGAAAATAAATTGTGATTGTTCAACTCCTTTTGGGTGTAACTCGCTGTGGAAGCAATATCTTTTTAAGTGTAAATCACCCAAAATAACGTTTAAAATAAAGCGTTGTCTAACATAATATAATACCCTTGAAAATAAAAAAAATATCTATATTTATATTCAATTTTTTTCTTCGAGCCCTTAGAGGTCTGTTGTGTTTCTTTAAATGTAACAACATGAAATTAAAAATAATAGTAATTAACTACAAAGCTATATAGCCACAGCCCACACGTCACACGACATAATAAAGCCGCTAGAGAAAAAAAAAGCTGAAAAAATTAGCTACTTTTACTTTTACTAAATTTTGTTTTTTGCCAATTTCAAACTCTTCAAATTAAAATAATTCAAAATACTTTCTTATTGCACACCTAGACCCTAATACAAACATAACCTGAAAATTTTAAGTCGCTAGCTATCATAGTTTAAGCTGTGCATTGATTATGAATCAGTCAGTCAGGACTTCTTTTTTATATGTACATGAAGATTAGCACAAACAATTAGAATAAACTTAACTTATTTTTTTTCTATAAATTTTAAGTTAAGTAATTTTTTTAAATCGTTTTAATTTTGTTTACTTTACTAGTAAAAGTAACTTTATCCCGTTTTTTGCAAACTAAGGGGTTAAAATTACATTTTTGATGTGCTAGCCTCTTCTCCTGGCCCTACTCAAGTTATGCCTATGATTCACACACATTTTCCTATAGAAATCCCCATTCATAGGCGTAATTTCAATTTTTAACTTGGGGGAGCTGGACATTTTTAAAAAAAATATATATAAGTAAATATATTTTTGTATTTTAAAATTGTATGCATAACCAATTTTTTTTGGTGGTGCTATGTCTAGCATTGGGGGGGCTAAGCCCACCCTAGCCCCCCCGTATTTGCGCCTATGTCCCCATTGGATGTTTAAAATATAAATTTTAAATTATAAAAATGCATAATAAACCAGTGATAGATATCACTAATGTATTACGTTATTATACTTTACTTGATTACCTATGTAAATCAGTAGGTTTTTTTTAAATTGTTGGATATTGGAATAGAAATAATAAAAAAGTGCCATGCCCAATACAAATAATTATAATGAAGGTAATAGGTACACACCGACGCCGGGCATATATAGATATATCTGTGCCCGCAGCCCGGTGCGGGGTGCCGGCCCATGAACAACTGTTGATAGTGTTATCAGTTATCAAACAGCTGGTGTTAAGTAGCTGCTCACATGGCATTTTCAGTGGTTGACTGTTAACAATGGTAGTAAATTCAGTTATCCCCTCTTGAAACCGTCACCGGCATTTATAATTTCATATTAATGTCTCTTTTGGAGTTTAGAATATGCCAGTTTGCACATATTATTATAACGTTTATCTTTATTGTTTCATTATTTTCTTTTTTGTAAAGCCCAATTTTGTAATTATCTCAATTATATAGTTTACAATCGGTACGTTGGTCTTGTTGCTAATATTATCTTTTGAAAATATATTTATTTCGAGATTATTATATTACAGGAATACGGTGAAAACTTATTGATTGCAAATTCACTAGCGGACCGTTGTTGCTGTTAGAATATAATATTTTTTAAAGAAGTCAGTACATATTTTCAACGTAAAATAATAATACAGAGAGGTAATTAAATTTTTTATCTTGCATATTATGACTTATGATAATTAAACAAAATAACGACTTAAAAAAAAGTGAAAAAGTAAAAAATAAATAAATAGGAAACACAATAAACATATAAAGATATGACAAATAACATTGAGTTATTCTAAACACGAGTTGCCTTCCAACAAAACTGTACCTTTCCCTTTTCTGTCGATTTACTTTTTTGCCCAAAAAGTCTTATGACCAAAATTTAAGAACTAGGCCAAGTGGAATTAATAACATTTAAGTATAAAAGTGTACAATTTAATTTTTTTTGTGTTATACCTGTAGGTGTTTAAGAAATGTTTAAACATTTTTTTCTTATTTTTCCAAAACTTCAAAAAGTTTTGTTAATTAGTTTTGGAAATGGGCTACTTATATTTAATCCGTCGACTAATTTGAATTAGATTTTATTTTTGCTGAAAAAGGTAAAGTCTGGTAGAAGAGGGAATCAAGTGTTATCTAATTTAACGGAAAAAGGAAAGGTATAGTTTTGGCGGAAAACAGCCATGCCCAAATCAATAAAATTTAATTTATTTTATTTTTCGTTGGGTCCCTTCAAACATTAGAAATTTTAAAATTTGGCCCAGATAGTTTAAACCTGAGTATTACGTTTTCTCAAAATATCCATTAAGATTGAGTTGAAAAACATTAGTAATGCATTATTTGAAAAAAACTTGTATTTTTTAAGTACAATGACCCCACTGAAAATAACTTTCAAATATACAAAATATTTTAATAATGTAATTTGTGTTGCTTTAAATTTTGAGATTTTGGTTTCTCACTTGTTAATTAAGTATTTGATAGTTCTCAAATCTGGTTAAGTTGGTTATTATCTAACTTAATTTATTGACTATTTAAATAATCTTTCATTTTAAAAATAGATAATTTGACCATTTCTTGTCAGTGTTAGTTGATAATTTATTTTTTTAATTTTACACAGTTAATAAATTTATATTTTTCAGTCTTTTTAATAGTGCACAATGACTAGAAAAAAGAAGGTAGCCAATTATCCTAAACGAGTTCAGAAGTCTGAATGGACTAACCAAAGTTGGTTAGAAAATGACTTGTCTCAATCAATGACATTAACTACACCTGTAAACAGTTTAATCAATTTTAGAGATATTCCGTTGTATCCTACGTTTGAAGATATAAAAAGCAAACCACCAACGTTATTTGCAAACAAGGTAAAACGGCCTTACGCAAATTGTGAAGAATATCTAGACAGATTTTTTCGTTTAATGCGTGAAGATTTCACATCGTCCGTCAGAGATGCAATATGTTTTTTGAAAAAACCTAACAAAAGTGAACACGAACGTTTCGAAATGCAAAGGCTGTGGCATTATGAAAATGTTCAAATACAAAAAACTAATGCTACTTCGTTAAAAACTATGATTTTTCGTTTTGAAACTGCCACTAGAGCATTGCAATTTGATTATGAAAGTAGTAAACGTTTTAAAAATGGCGCTTTGCTTGTACTAACTAAAGACAACTATGAAACATTTAGTTTAGGAATAATAACAGACACTTTTAATTTAAATAGAGGTATAGTGGGTGTTGATGTCGTTGACTTTAAGGAAGTCAATAAATGGACTCGCATTGACATTTTAGAACCATCGGCTTTCTATGAACCTTATAGATATGTGCTGGCAGTCTTTCAAGATATGTCCGAAATTAATTTCCCAATGAAAAACTATATTATATATGGATGGAAACAAATCTCACCCCCTACATATTTGGTCAACAATTCAACATATAATATAAATGGCATTGTGTTTGATATTCTAGATAACAACAAATGGCCTTCTGCTAATTCTTTACAAATGGATATAAATCAATACGAAGCTCTAAAAGGTGCATTGACTAAAGAGTTCACTATGATTCAAGGGCCCCCAGGAACAGGCAAAACCTACATTGGTTTGGAAATTGTTAAAATTATAATTGAGAACATGTATAAAACTAAAAAACTGACCAGTCCCATCTTGGTAGTGTGTATGACAAATCACGCTTTGGATCAGTTCCTTGAAGGCATATGGAGAACGACCAAGAATATTGCTAGATTCGGTTGTGGTACCAAGAGCGACATTTTGGTCAACTACGTACCTCGCATGAGCATTGCTCGCAATGATACGTGTGCAGACATATATGTAGGTGCTAAACGAAGTGTTGCTACAACATTACAGCAAGAAAATGTGTATCAAAAAAATATCAAACAAGTAACTCGTAATATTGGTATTCTTAGTTTGTCCACACTCATGGAAGTACTAATAACAAGAGGCTTCGATTCTTGGTTTAATGATTCCTATGACCTATTGTCTTGGTTGTTCTATAATGTCACCGATGATAACGGTATTAATCCAGTAGATTTTATGAAAAAAAATAAATTGTTATCTTCTTGGTTGGTTAAGTCAAAAAGTGACCATGCCGGAGATCAGTTGTATTGCATGACATTAACAAATATTAAAGAATACTATTCACAAACACAGTGTAAATTGGACGGTTTGCATCGTATATTCAATCCTGATAACAACGAACACGTTTTGAGAAAACGTGATTTGGAATATACTTTAAATACCATAAAGACTATTGAAAAACATATGAATAAACACTTGAAATTAGTGCAATCCGACACTATTGTTGAGTATACTCAAAATATCAACTGTAATGCAATTGATGGGCGACATCGCTGGTTGCTGTACTATAATTGGGTTCATCTTTATTTGATGTTGGAAAACAATCATATAGCGAATATCAAAGATGATGCACGTCAAATGAGACGAGAAGTAAATAAATTTAAGTCGATTGGCTTTTTGAAGCCTGTGAAAAATAAATTTGTTATCGGCATGACAACAACTGCAGCCGCAAGAAATAGATACTTATTAAAGAATCTCAAGTGTCCAATTGGTAAAATTATTTTGAAATGGTTTTAAAAGTGAGATAACTATTATTTATTATATTATATTATTTACAGTTATCATTGAAGAAGCAGCAGAGGTCCTTGAACCTCACATAGTAGCTTCATTGTCTGAACATTGTAAACAACTAATTCTGATTGGTAAGATAATACAAACTAGAAGTAATTTTGAAAAATATATTTTTAAATGTATTATTTTTTTAAAATTAGGTGATCACAAACAGTTACGTCCCCAAACAGCTAATCATATTATGGGTCAAAAGTACAAATTGGATGTCTCACTTTTTGAACGAATGGTTCATAATGATATTCCTTCATACATATTAGCAGAACAACATCGTATGAGACCTGAAATCGCCGGTTTGGTAGCACCGGCTATATATCCACATTTAAGAAATCACCCGTCTGTATTAAACCGACCTCACGTTCGTGGTGTTGCCTCTGACGTATTTTGTATAACACACAAAGCATTTGAAGAAAAAGTGATTGAACTTGTATTATTTGTACTAACAAACTTGTATTTGATTATAAATGTTATTTCATTTTATTTAGGATGTAGAACTATCCAGTTTTAAAAATAGTCTTGAAGGTGACTTTTTAGTCGCTTTAGCAGATTATTTATTAAAACAAGGATATTATCCTGAAGACATCACCATAATGGCCATGTATAACGCTCAAGTTGTATATATAACCAAGGTATTAATATAACGTGTAACATTTTTTATGTCAAATGATTATTATGTATGTTGTTAATGTTTTTTAGTTAATAAATAATCCACCTTATGAACATTTAAAAGAAATTAGAGTTTCATCTGTAGACGGATATCAAGGCGAAGAGAATGAAATCGTTTTGCTATCATTAGTGCGCAGTAATAGTTATAATAGCGTCGGGTTCCTGAAAACAAATAACAGGGTATGCGTAGCACTGTCAAGAGCCAGGTTAGGCTTTTATATTGCAGGAAATCTAGATCTACTTTCTAGGGCCAGTAAATTATGGGAAAGCATTAAGAAATATTTATGCAAAACACAAGCTATCGGTAAGCACTTGTGTTTGTGTTAATATGTGAAATTTAATTCAATTTTTTTTGTATCAGGCTCAAAATTAAAGTTAAGATGTACAAGTCATAACAAAGTGTTGGGAGAAGTGTCTAGTGCTGCTAATTTTATGAAAGTTGGTAGTTGTAAATCAATTTGTAACGTCGTCCTATCTTGTGGTCACAGATGTACAAAAAAATGCCATGCCGACGATAGTGACCATTTGCAAGTGAAATGTCCACACCCTTGCACGAGGTAATTATATATTATTATATTATCCTTGCTAACAAAACTTGACGTTTCTTTATTTTAATAACAATAAATAATTTGAAAATATAGTTGCATATTTATTTTAATAAAAACTTATTCACGAGTTAAAATTCTATGTGTTTAAATTAATTTCTTTATTGTTTTTATATTCTTTTCAATACAAAATGTATTTGAATTTATTATTTGGGTATTTGTTCAAATAAAAACAAAATTGTATTTATTATTTGAATTCTTATTTAAAGAAAGCTCAGGCATGTTTAATATTTCTATATCAAATTTGTTTCAATACTATTTTAAGGAGGTGTTCAAGAAATCACAAGTGCAAACATATGTGCTATGTGGAATGTAACAACTGTACAGTGTTCACAAGAGAACTTGGAGAGTGTGGGCACTTAATTGAAGGTCAATGCCATATTTTCAATCAAATCAAGTGCAACGTCAAAGTATATTTAATTTATTTTACAAGTAAATAATATATGCAGGGCCAGCTAGTACGATGAGCCTTTTTCTATAATTAGAGAAATCATAGTCGCATCGATAGAGTACATGGTTAAGGCACAGCTTTTACAGTCTTCAAGCCGGCCCTGATTATACTTTTTATTAAAGACATTTTTTCAAATAGGTCAAGGTAATGTTGGAGTGTGGTCACGAAATTGAAAAATTGTGTCATAAGCCTTCAGTTTGTGACAAAGCCTGCGAGAACCTGGCTCCCGGTTGTTTGTTCCGACATGCGTGTAAAAACAAATGTGGCCAAGTTTGTGGTCCATGTACAGCTCCTATTCCGATAATAATGTACTGCGGGCACACTTCACAAATTTTGTGCTCGCAAGAAACAAATTCTGCTGTATGCAAGACGCAAGTGAGACGTCAACTGCCGTGTGGACACCAAACGATGGTTTCTTGCACTGAAGACGTATTGAATTTAAAATGTCAAGATAAAAGCCATAAAAATGATAATGTTATGAAAACAGTGAGGAAATAACAATACATATATGTATTAACTAAATAAATACAAGGCTGAATAATATTAATTTAATATAATATTTTGTTTAGCTCACCTCGGAGTTAAGGTTTAATTAATTAAAAAAAAAAAACAATATAATGGTGGCGATAGCTTTGAAATTTAAATTATTAATTTTTACTATTACAGCCTAAAGCTGTTGTTCTGGTGGACCGTACAAACGTACAAACTGAAGAGATTGTAAAAAACAAAATTATTTTTCCATGTGGACATAAAGGCCATTTGAATGTTCCCAACGGTTCAAGTATTAATGGTAAGTATGTATGAGCATGAAGTCAATAAAGTAAATAGAGTGTGGTCTAAATATGTTCAATCTATTTCTTATAATTTTCAAATACTTTAAAAACAAATATTTTGGCTTCTTATTTAAGTTTCCCTTTGCAACCCTGTTTTATTATCATTTGTACAAATTCTATGTATTTATTTTTATTTTTCATGTACAGAAAATTCCAATCCAGAAATATTGGCTAAATATTGTGACAAAATATGTTCTAAGAAACGAGAATGTGGACATTACTGCAAAGCTATGTGTAAAGATTGTCCTTCAAAAAAACAGCATAACGCTTGTCATAGGTAAGATCAATAATTATACCACGTATATTATCAATTTGTTTATCAGATGTAAAAAAAAAAATGTAAATAAGGTGAAGTAATTTTTCTTTAACAATACCTTAACTAATAAATTAGGCTTAGAGCAAAATAACTATAACAAAATCAAAAGAGTTTTTTTTTTGTATGAAAACCATATCTGTTTCAATATGGTTAGTCTAGGGCTAGGATGTTATTGCACTTAAAATTTATAAATTTGTTTGGTGAATTGCCATACAAAATATTTAAATTACACATTGACCGTATTCAATTTCCATATTGATATGTGTGAGTGAATGGACAGTAACAGGTAAAGAAAATATTTTCATCGGATTGTGAACTATGATATATGGACTACGTATGGCAATACATTTTTATAGACAGAAGATCAACCCTAATCATGCCTACCATAATACTAAAAATTAGTTTTTAAGCACATGATTGTCAATAGGTACAAACAATGCTTTTATCGGTATTTATATTTTTATACGGAAACGCTTACTCATTTACTTTTACTACTACTACTCACTTGCATATTATATTTTTTACTGTGCTGGTTTGTACTGTGCTTGGTTTGAACTGTACAGGTTAGAACCTACTATAGATATGCATCGAAGTATTTGTTTAAAAGTGGTTTAATCACTTTTTGTTATAAAATTCCTGTAGACCTGTGACCATCCCGCTCCCATTACGCCCCGACCCCACTGTACTGACTTTTTTTGTTTGTTAATCATTTTTTTTTTATCTTAAGACATTTTTTCGCGGAATAAAATGAAACTGTTGATATTTTTACAATAGGTTTTTTTTTACACATTGGATTAGAGTTAACTTAGTAAACTGCTGCACCAAAATCTTTGATCAGCATTTTGTTGATCGATGAAAGAGCACATTTTTCACTCTTTAATGTCAGTAAAACAATCGAGTTTTTAAATTTAAATTTTAACACGCTCTAAGTAACAAAAAACACTTTCAGTTCCGCTATTTCGTGTTAGTTTGTGTATTAATATTACGTCTTTCAGTGTTACATTATGCATAAATTACAATGTATAATACTCGTATTAATAAATGTGTTTTTTTTATACTTTTAGTTGCAAAAGGAAAAAAGTTTTTAGTTTAAATACTGTTTCCTCTATAAAGTTTCATGTTAAAGACAAAAAACAGTCTAAGAAGATGATTGTCGATGAAGTGAGTAATTACTAAGTATTAGTATGAGTATATTATGTTGCTCTATTTTTGATGTGATAACGAGTGATGGAATACAATTTTATTTAAGTTATTATTTTATGTTATTACCTTATTATTTTTTTGTTGACTACTAAATTATATACTAATGTTTTTCGATTGAAAGTTTCCTTATAATAATTAATAATATAATTTATGTTTTGTATCTCAGTAGAATATAGTTGAGAAGTTATTATCATTTTTGTTTGATTAGTGTTTTGTTGAAATAAACATTGATTTTAAGTTATTCTAAATGTTGGTTGGGGTTATAAGCTTAGAATTTTAAACCTTTTACATTACATGGCAATTATTAATTAACAAAACCATTCTGCCCATATTCATAGTATGTGCATGAGAAAATGGATGACGCAACCACAGGTTTGGGGTTATTAGCGTAAAATTCACAAAATTATAAGTCAAGAATATTTTACTAATCCAGTGCACTACCATACGTATTTTTGTTCATATAGTGAAAAATTAAAATCAACCTTTAATCGTCATCCTCATTTTAAACACACGTCTCTTCAGAAAAACAAAACCGATAAATTATTAAGAAACGTCAAAAGTAACAGTTTGCTTTATGATAATGCACTGTATAAATTTAAGTAAATTCTGGAGTAATTTTCAAATTCATTTAGATTGTAGTGTAGAGTTTTTGTCTCAGTACAGTCTTAAAATTTACAACAACATTTAACACTTTGTGTGCTATCTGTGTGATTTAGTTTAATTTATTTAAGTACAAATAATTTAATAACTTAATCTAAAAGAAAAAAAAAATTGTTCTCCCTAGTTCTAAAATAATACGTTTTTTTTATATCATTAATTTAATTTTTAGACTATTATCTCGTGCCTTTTATAGTTTTTTTTTTCATGTACTCCAACTTTAGTCTTTATCTTCTAATATGGCCTTTTACGTGTTGTAAAAGGTCATATTACACATCTTTAAATAAAATTGTTCGAATAAATTTGTACTCGACAATTAATAACAAATTTATTTCTAATTTTATTCATATTAAAAATGCTTTCCGACAGCTATTTGGTTTTGAGTTAAGCCATAATTAATAGTAAAATTCTTATAGAGAAAATATGAATACCTAATAAATATACGGTAACCTTTTTTTCAATTAATTATGAAGTCGTATTCGAATAATGCCCAACTCTGAATACAGTCCAGATGATTTGAATCATTTTTATTTTAACGCCGGCCATTCCGCCCTCGGTTGTAAGAAATCTGGACCTTATATTGGGTATTGGCCTTAGTTGTAAAGAATCGTTTTCAATGGGTCCGTTGTCGATTTGTCTGTGGGCATTTGCTTAGGTCGCGTGTAAAATGGTCTCTGCGGTATTGGGGAAAACGCATATGAAACGTCAACGCGCACGGCCAACGGTTTGTCGTACCTACACGCTTCGTTAGACCATGCAAATATTTGATTCGACGTCATGTCGGCGGATGATCAGGAGAGGGTGACACTCGTGATCAGGGTTAGAGAGAGAGGGGTAGGACGAGAGCGCAGCCCCGTAAGAGAAATACAAACACGAATCACATTAAACGAGCCAAGCGGATAGAAAAAGTGTAAAAAAAGGGAGGGAGGGAGAGAGAAGATGGCTATTGGCTAAGTTCGGGAAAATAATGCGTAGCGGTAGAAAAGAATAGGAAAGAGAATTTTTATATGTCAAACTGTGTATAATATATATATATATTTGTAGACCTACGTGTTACTTCCATTTTGCGCATGCAAATTACAAAATATACACACACGACCCGCCGTCGCTGTCACCGTCTAGTCTAAGCAATCAATCCACCAACAAGTTGTTTTTAAAACGACAGTAATTTTTTTTTTCTTTCAAGTTAGCATAGATGTACGTATTTCTTCGGCGGGACAAAAAGGATTCTAAATAAACGACAACTGAAGTATATAATCACACACGGTTTCTACTTGTAATCGATAATTCTCAAGCTGTTTGTTTCGCCAACAAACCTACCTACGGCTTCATAAAGTACCTATGTTTATATATACACTTATATAATATTTACGTATGTATTAGAGTGGATTTAGTTTAGAGTGGATACAGTTAATTTATTATTTCAGTTAAACTGGAAGTTTGGTATATTTCTATTACTTAGAATTCAATTTTATTTATTATTTATGATGGTAAAATTCGACGTAAAAATCTTACTTGAAATGAACACTCAAGAAGCACGGATTTGTGCTTACTGGTGAGAAACCATATAAATGTAGTATATATTAGAGCATACATTTGAATAGCTTTTCACCTGTAAGTACAATATTTTATTGACATTTTTAGAGTTTTAGAAAGAAAAAACATAAGAGCTACCAAACTTCTTAATGTTTAGTATAAAGTCAGTTGTTGTTATAATAGTCTTCTGTCTCTGCATGCTTTGCTTTGTATACAGTTGCTGTTTGCGAAAAAAAATGTTAACCAAAGATCTCACCTCAAGAAGCATGAGCTTGTACTTACTGGTCAGAAATCATCCAAATATAGTGTATATTAGAGCATATATTTGTATGGCTTTTCACCTGTAAGTGCAATATTTTATCAACATTTTAAGAATTTTAGAAAGAAAAAACATAAGAGCTACCAAACTCCGTACCGTTTAGTATAGATTCAGTTGTTGATATAATAGTCTTTGTGTGTGTTGGTTTGAATACAATTTGCAGTGTATGAGAATAATCTTTTAACTAAGTCTCTCACCTGAAGAATCGTGAACTTTTGTATACTGACAAGAAACCATACAAGTACAATATCTGCGAAAAATCTATATCCCACAACGAAAACCTCAAGAAGCATGAGCGCGTACATACTGATGAGAAACTATACAACTGCAATAACTGCGAAAAATTAATTTAACAAAAGCCTTACCTCAAGAAACAAGAACTTGTGCTTACTGGTGAAAAACCATATAAATGTAGTAAATAATATAGAGCATACATTTAAATGGCTTCTCACCGGTATGCACAATGTTTTACAAAATATATTTTATGATATTCTACTTACATCATTAAACTGATTTTTTCATGTAACAAGCTTATAGATCAGAAATCGTATATGAAAGTAATTCTATTGGGTCTATAATTTTATAAATCACCCCTTTCCCATCAAAATCAAGAAAAACATAAAAAAGTTAATTAATTTTGATATAACTTTAAAAGTAAGTCCATTCAACAACATTTGGTAACATATTTTTCAATAAACATTTTTTATTTAAAATAAATTTATATTTTACTGTTTTAAATATTATCTTATGTAAATATATTTTTATTTGACTGTTTTAAATAACCTGTATTTTGAATAATTGTTTAAATAAATATTTATTTAATTTTCTATTTTGAATTTAATTTTAAATAATTTTTTTAATGCCACGCCGACCTCAGTGACTATTTGTGAAATGTTCTAACCATTGCACGAAGTAGGAATCAAATTATTTTATCCTTATGATCAAACTTAGGCGTTTATTTATTTAAATAACACAAGGATTTAAAAATATTTTTCGATTTTTATCAAGTAAACTTTTATTTATGCATGTATATTATTGTTATACATTAATTTAAACAAAAAATGTATTTGAAATTATTATTCGGGTATTTGTTTTAATAAAAACAAAATTATACTTATTATTTTAGTTTTTACATTTTTTATTTTATACAAAATATATATAAATAATACCCACGTTTGGGTAAGAGCCCTAATAGGTACCATTTCGCTCCAAAAGTGGTTTACTGTAGTGTTCTCCAATGATTAGATTAGAGATTAAACTCTACACACTATAATGTTATGGTCAATTTTTAGGAGTCATAAAATGTCAGTATACTATATAGTGTATATAGTGCACCTTCTTGGTACCCCTAGATAACGCCTGTGAAAGAAATTATTTTATTTTTAAACGGACAAAACGTTTGAACCATTTTTGTCATTATTTTCTTGGTAGGTCGCATACTTGGTACTTTTTTTAATTTTCTTGAAACAATATAGATGCAGTAGTACAGATATCAATGATCTTTATTAAAATCTCGGCGTACATCAGGTATATAGTAAAAGACATGAGTAGTAGAAAATACTAAGTAGACATCTGGGAGCCTAGTCGCTTCATTTGACACGGCGAAGAGTTTCACGGGCCACCGGGTGTATAATATGCTTACGGATTTCCCTGGAAACTTTAACCAATTAGAGCGTTCAGTTGTCAACGGATTTTTTTCTTATTTTTTTTTCCCGCTAGTCCCCGTATTACCTCGTGTTACGGTACATTGAATACACCGGGTGAATGAGGGTGGTTTAACGTCTCCAGCAGCAACGGATTTCGTTTAGCCTCAGGTAACGTTCAGACGGGGGCTTTATGGCCGTGCGATAGTCGGTGGTAAACAAATAAAATAAAGGAGATGCGATATAGTGTTTTCCGAAAGTTTAACGTTTAAAGTGGGTTTTTACAGTAAGTCTTCAATTAATCATCGCATGTCTGAAAATCGATTAAAGATGATTTTTATTTTGTCAAACGACCATCACCAGGGTAAGGTAATATAAATTTCAAAGTACAACAAGCTCGGTTCTAAAATATATTGAAATTAAAACAAGTTGGACCTTTCCAACTGCGCTTATATTGCATTAAATCTGTTGGTTTTACTAGGCAATAGCTAGGGATTTTACGTGTTTACTAACAATGTGGAACAAATGCAGAAGTAAGCAATGAACTTGCAGTTTTGCATTCACTCAAAAACCGAAAACGTGTGGGTCATTGTTTTTGAACCTAAGATGTCTGCGTATGAAACATTAATTGTACAGTAACGCGAGAAACTTTTTTTATTACTCGACTCGTCTCGAGTGTGCCCTTAACTATATTTAGTTATTACTTAAGTCACTATATCTAGTCACTGTATACTCATCCCGAGCAAAACATATCTCCCACACTGTCTGTAGAAATTTATAAACGTGTCGTCAGCAAACATAATTAATGACCTTTTGTTCGTGCAGGATCTCGTGTCAATTCATTTGCGTAAACACTTTGTACCTACAATATTATCCAGTACAGCAATTACAAGGTGGCGACCGTGAGTACACAGTATTATAATATATAATAGAGTTGGCGTATGACGTGTTATTTCTTGACAGATAGTTTCCACGC